CTGTCGGGAGAAGAGGCGTGGATTCCGGTGCAGGTGTGCTCTGGGCTGGGGGTGGGGCTAGTGAGGGGTGGAGGTGTGGTCAAGGCAAGGGGGCGGGGCTATAGTATTCAACGGGCAGGGGTGGGTGGTGACTGCTGTGGGCTGTGGCCAAGTGGGGGTGTGTCCCGGGGCTCCCAGGGTTCCACCTCAACCTCCCAGTATCTGAGACCGCGCCCCTGCAGTGGCGCCGGCCTGACCGCCAGCGAGGCTCCACCCACTCTCACGTGGCCACGCAGACCGCAGCCCACTGGAGTGGCGACCCGATCCTGGCCACGCCCCCAGCCCCCCCTCCCCCCCCATTCCTTGCAAAGGAGGTGTCCCCATCCGTGGCCCGGCTCTTCTGGAGAGACCGCCTTCGCGCGGACACCCACGTCCTTTTACTAACCCCGCCCAGAGGCCTGGCCACGCCCCTAACCCAGCCACACCTCCGAGTTCCACCCAGCACCGCCGGTCAACCTGCATGCACACTACCCGCTCCACGAACCCCCCCATACAAACACACTACACACACAGCCCACACGCGTGTTCCCCACACACACACACCTCCACACACAACCACCCACACCCAGCCCCACGAAAACACTTCCCAGTCACGCAGACACATCCCCCCTACACACACACCGCCACACATGCACCCATCAAACCTTACACATGCACACATCCCACTGCCACCCACCCATAAACACACACACCCCCCTCACAAACATGCACTAACACACGCCTCACACTCGAACCTCTAACACACCACTCACGCACAAACACCCCCCCACATCCCCATAAACACACCCGCATGCACACACACACACACGCATACACCGAATGCCCCCACATTCACACACATAAAGCCCCTACACACAAACCCACACACACACCTCCCTGCTCACTCATGCACCCCCATACACACACCCCCACAAATACCCCCCCACTCTCACAATCTCCCCCCACAAACACCCACCTGCATACACACCCCCCCAAACAAGCAAATGCGCACATGCCTGCACACAACCCCCCACTCACACTCCCACAACCCCTCCCACAAATACCCCCAATCACATAGACACACACATACACGCATCCCCCCATACACGCCCCCCCAAACACACTTCCTCCATATGCACCTGACTCAGTGCCCCACACACACTCCACAAAGGCACACAAACACCAGCGCAGGCACACACACCCACCCACTAAGCACGCTTACCCCCCCCACGCACACGCCCCCGCACATACCCCCACTGACAGACACTCCCCACACACCCTCCATTTTGTAACCCTACTGTCGTCCTACCCACACCTCGTGGACACATCACCAGCACAGCCCCCACCTACTTTTTACCTGAATCAGTAATTTTGAATTTTTTCAGTGAAAAAAATTTCCTGCTCCTGTGTGTATGCTCAAGTCCAAAAACATTTTTTTAGGTAAGGGGCATAACTATTTTGCTGAATTAATTAGGGTCAGTGACTACTGATTGTTTTGTTTTCTTATTTATCTAATCGGTGTTCTGGAGGAAGGTGTTTGGGCTGGGTGGGAAGGACCCAGCAGATGTGTTTGGGCGAGGTGCTTGGTCCAGGGGTGTCTGCATGTGTGGCCAAGAAAAATAAAAAATAATTTTAAAAGGTGAAAACAAAACATTCTAGCTCATTAGCATAATAAATAGCTTAGTTAATGGATTAATCAGTTGAACTGATTAATGAGCTTTACTAATCAATTTATTAATTTAATTTGTTAACTGATTAAACAACAGATTTTTTTTGAGCTAATTAGATTTTCTCAAGAAAAAAAAACATTTCATGGTCCTGCGTGTATGCCAGCTGGCAAACACCTGGGGAAAATTAATTCAAAAAGTCCAAAAATATTGTTATATAATTATCATAATTGCTTAATAAATTATTAGGTTCATTGACTACTTTTGTTTCCTTAGTTGATTATTCTAAATAGTTTTTTAACCTAATTAGCTTTTGGGGGGAGGGGTTTGGGCCAGGGGTTACGTGTGACAAACAAATTAGCTAATTAGCATAATAAATAGGCTAATGGCTTAATGAGGTGAATTAATGAGCTTTATTGGTTTCTTTACTTAACTGATTAAATAACAATTTTTGAGCCCATTAGTTTTTTTTCAGGGGGACAAAAAAAAAATTATCCTAGCCCAGGGGATGTGCCAGTAAATACCTAAAAAAATAAATTCTTTTTAAATAAAAAAAAATTTACATAATTAGCATTATTTTGCTTAATTAATTAGGGTCATTGACTGCTCATCTGAAGTCATTATTTTGTTTATTTAGATCATTATTTTAAATTTTTTTTAATCTACTTATTTTTTTTCCTGGGGAGGCCTTTATTAACCCTGCTCCTCCCACAACCCCCCCACAGCACAGACAACACCCCCAGGACATTATTCTCCCCACCTTGGCCCCATACCCATCCCAGACCAATCGTAATGTCATTAAAAACAGAATAAAAAGGTAATCAACCTGAATAAAACTTGAATAAAAGTGAGCAAAAAGTGCCTAAAAACCAAATTCAAAGTGAATTAAACTGATTAAAAGAAAAGTGAATAAAAGTGATTACGCATTATGAAAAGGGGGGGAAAACCACACAAATGAGTAAAAAACTTCATGGGGCATGAGTTGTGCGTCTATAAGACATCACGGGGTGCCCATGGGGTGCTACGGGTCGCCATGGGGCAGTGGGGGGGGGTCACTCAGGGTTTGTGTTGCTGCGGGTTGTTACGGGCATCTGTGGGTCACAAGGGATTGGCCGACGCTGACCCTCCGCCTCCGCGGCCATATTGGTGAGGCGGCTTTGGCGCCATTGTGTCCCCGCCCTTCCTCCATACTGCGCCCAGCCCTTCCCTCCTGCGACTCATGCCCTCACCCATCATGGCGGCCGCGTTTCCGTGGTAACAGTCGCACCGCGCCTGCGGAGCCTCCATTTTTCGTTCCAAGATGGCGCTCCCGAGCGTGGTGCGGGCGGAGGCTCTGCTACTGTCCCGATCCCTCTTCCCGGGGCTCTTTGATTTTGGAATTGCTGAACAAAGGAATTCTGTTCTGGCAAATCTGAGTTTCAAAGAATATTCTCCTGCCACCTGGGAAAATCCGACATAGCCAAGACACTTCAGTTCAGCCCAGCCGACATTAGAACTGTCCAGCCCATTCCAGCTCATCCCTGCCCATTTAGCCCGCTTTAGTCCAGCACAGCCAACTTTAGGCCACTTCAGCCCAGTTTAGCCCTGTCCAGACCAATTTAGCCCAGCCCAGCCCAGCCTAGCCCACTTCAGCCCAGTTTAGCCCAGCCCAGCCTAGCCCAATTCAGCACAGTTTAGCCCAGCCCACTTAAGCCCCATTCAGACCTTTCCAGACCAATTTAGCAGAGTTCAGCAGGCTTTAGCCCAATTCAGACCTGTCCAGCACACCTTAGCCCTGCTGAGCCCACTTCAGCCCAGCACAATTTAGACCACTTCAGCCAAGTTTAGCCCAATTCACATCTGTCCAGGCCACTTTAGCACAGTTTAGCCCAGCACAGTTTAGCCCAAGGCAGCCCGGTCCAGTAGGCTTCAGCCCACTTCATCCCTTCCCAGCCCAACGTAGCACAGTTTAGGCCAGCTCAGTCCAGCCCAGTTTAGCTCAGTCCATTTTAACCCAGTTCAGCTCCCTTTACAGCCCAGCCCACCCAAGACAAATTGAGCCCAATTAGGCCCAGCTTAGCACAATACAGTCCGGTTTAGCTCAGCCCAGCCAAGACCTGATCAGCCAATTCAAGCCCAGTTTAGCCCACTTCAGCCCAGCCCAGCCCAGCAAAGTTTACTCCAATTCAGCCCAGTCCAGCCCCATTTAGACAAGCTCTGATCTGTCCAAACCAGTGAGGCCCAATTCAGCCACTCCAGCACAGTTCAGCACACTCTGCCCCACTTCAGGAGAGTTTAGACCACTTTGGCCCACTTCAGCCCAGTTTGGCAGTTTAGCCTTGTCCAGCCCAGTTTAGCGCAGTAGAGCCCAACCAGGCCTTGTTTACCCCAGTAACGCCTACTCTGGCCCAAGTCACAGGAGTCCAGCCCAGTTTAGCTCAGTCCAGTGCCATTAAGCCCAGACAAGAACAGTTTAGCTTCTCCTGCTACCGCACCTCTGGCCGCCGCCGCTTGGCACACACACACCTGCCACTCCCGCCGCTCTTCTATTACCTCGCTCGCGGCCGCCGCAACAGCCCGTTCCGTTGCTGCCACTGGCTGCCTCGCCAGTGCATCGCGCCGCCCCCCCCCCGCTGCAGGCGATACCGCCCCTGCCGTATCCGTTCCTGCCGCCAAAGCTGCGCCGCTGCCTTCCCCACGCCGAAACGCCCCCGCGAACCCCCCCCCCCCCCCCCCCGCCATTCCTGCCTCCCGTTTTACTACCTCGTCCATCGCCGCCCCTGCTGCCTATGACGCCATCACCCCTACTTCTGCAGCTGAGCCGGAAAAACGGCTCTTGTCTTACACCGCCCCTTTTATATCCTCGCCCGCTCCCGCCTCCCGGCCAATCACCGCGCCGCTCGCCTCACAGCGAGGGTTGGACATGGATACGGAGGGTCAGTGTTGTCCAATCCCTGGCCGCCTCGCCCTTAACTCAGGGAGCAGCTGACGGGAAGCTTTCGCGCCTAGAGACCGGAGGCCAATCAGCGGTGTCCATCGGTGTGAGGGAGCGATGGCGGCAGCCGGGGAGGAAGGAGGAGGAGGAGAAGGAGAAGAAGGTGATGGTGGGGCGGGGCTTCTGGAGGGGTGGGTCCTGTTCTGAGGTGAGGACAGTGAAGGATAGGGGCATGGTCGAGGCTGTGGGCCGGTGCTGGGGTGGTGGCAGAATTGTGGTGCGACCAGTGTGCAGGTGGGAGAGTGCGGGTAGCGTGGGGTGGGCGGGGACTGTGCTGGGGGCATGGTGTAGGCTGTGGACAGGGTTAGGGTGGATGCAGAGCGAAGTGGCTGTGCAGGTGGTGTGGCCAAAGGTTCAAAACCATCAAAACCCAGGGGTCTGCGGTTCATAGGTCAAGGATTATAGGTCAGCGATAAACAGTCATAGGTTATAGGGTTGTATGTCAAGTGTCAGAGGTCAGAGTTAATAAGGCAAATGTCATAGTCCATAGGACAGACGTCATGGGTCACAGATTAAGGATTAAAAGGTCAAAGATCATACATCAGGGGACCGTCTCTTGGTTTGCACATTCTGGCCACGCTTGGTGCAGATAGCACTTCCCCCTCCCTGTCCCCAAGTGGGTGGTTTTTTAACACATTATTAACATGATAAAATAAGGTTTTGAAAGCAGTAATTTTTGTCACATGAACAGCTGGAGCAGGACCTTCTAATAAGAAAAAATTGTCGAATACTTTGGGACAAAAATTGAGAGATTTTAAACCTTACATGCTAACAACCATTCTGGAACAGAAAAGCAGTCATTGGCTTTCCCCAGGCAGGCTGTTAAAATATCAGGCTATGCTTTTAGAACAAGAGGATTTAGAATTGAAAGTGACCAACCTTTTGAACTCAGCAGTGTTCATGACAACCGATTCAGAGGCAGGGGAGTAGCTCACAACTATTTATAGACTGCCAAGCAGGTGTATTCCAGTCATACCGACCCACAAGACACATCCCTGAAGGATGTGAACTGTTTGTGGATGAGTGCTGACACCTTCCCATAGTTTTGGGTGACCCTTCTCTTTTCAAACGCAAAATTCAGAGGTCAGTTACTACAGTTGCAAGTTTTCATCCTCCCTTCCAGGGATTTGCTTTTGAAACCCCTTATCAGGGTCACACTCACAGCACAACAGAAGCCCTTAAGGCTCATGGTTACTTCTTCCTTTTGCTCACCTCTGCCCAGGTCTCAGAATTCCCAGCAGTGCTCCCCCTGGTCCCCCAGACTGAGTGCTGTGGAAAATAATGACTAGTAATAAGCCACGTTGTAAGATGCTGTGCATGATGAAGCAGATGCTAAGGAGATTAGATTAGAGGACTGGTTTTGGTGAAGTGACTATAGATTTTTTCCACTTCTTCTGTAATGGAACGCCTTGAGACAGGTGCTGACAAAAAATGTCCCATTGCTAATGCTTCCCCTTGGTTGATAGTCCTATGCAATCTGGAGCTAGGCCAGAGTATCAGGTTGCACTCCAACATGAAAAGCTAGAAGTCTGATCTGGAAAGAATTGGAACTGCCCATGGAATGCTGTTAGACACACGATCGAATAGTGGTTTGCTGAGGAGAGGATGACCAGGCCTCAGTGTTATCTGAGATCAGTATAGAGAAAACAAAATTTGCAGCCATGGCAGCGACTGCTGTCCCTTAAATGTTGCCCTTTACAGGGCTTGGCACCCTGAACTGTAATAGAGACTGTTAGTCTTTCTTGTGGCCAGTGAACAGGGCTGAAGGAACTGAAAGACCTTGCAGAAACTGGGGAATGGCTGCTTGTTTTGCTGCATGTGGATATATGTGATTGCACATATATCTGCGCACACGTGCCTTGTGCATGTGCTCTGTTACTTTCTGCCACAGTCATTTCAGTGTTGTGATAGTTCCATGTGCCAAGTAAGAAGGATACAAAAAAGTTGCCCAGCAGTTATGTCAGACAACTCAGGGCTCTTGGCTACTAGCCCACACAAAGTCATTATCTTCAGCTGTTTTCAAATAAGCTTTGTAGATTAGAACTAATGTCCAAGATAAGTAACTAAGAACATAACTAGATTTTAATATTTAGAATTTGTATGCTCCTTTACTGGCTAAAATACTGTAATTTCATATGCCATTAGGCTATGAAACTTCATCTGAGCAGAGATTATTAATGTTCACTCATCCCATTTTAGAATTCACATCTGTTGTTTTAACTATATAAAATCTTTCTGCACCTAAGGCACTTCTTTAAATCTTTGTTTCATACGTTCTGGTGGCTTACTTTGCTTTTAGATTAGCTCCTTTATTAGACTGTGTTTTCTCAAGGTCTGAAATGAGATGAATCTATAAAAATCTTATTTTCAGATGAGGATTTCCCAGCTCATGCTTCAGCTCACAAATGCTCATGGGCACACCTATGCATGTTACATGGGCAAACAGTACTGGTCACACAAAGACACATGCACCCTCCTGTCAGTCTGTAAGATCTAGTGAATGTTGACCAAATTTGCCATATTATTCTGTTTATTCCATCACACTCAGGTGATGTAATTTAGCTTTCTTTTCCTACCTGCCAAACTCTCACACCTCCTCATTCCCCCAGATACTCTAACTTGATGATAAAACACTTTTGGAAGAAGTTGCATTGTTTTCTGCAATGCTTGTTATTTCAGATGCAAAAGTCATCAACAGTGCTATCCGGGAAGACCACTTCACAGAACCCAGTAACATATCCCAGATACTGTGGAGTAGGAACCTACTTCTTTATATGATCCTGGCTTTTTAAAGAAACCTCATATCAAACTAAAGCCACATTCACTGCCTGTCACCCCAGTTTTGGCAGAAGAGTGTTAAGGGCCTTTAAGCCTCAGTAGTCCCAGAGATTCAATAGCTTGCCTGATGACTGCTGGAGAGCCTGTGGCAGAGGAAAGACTGGAGTCCAGTTGTTAGTCCCTGCTCTGACTGTTCCGCTAATGTGAATGAAAAGACACTTGAGGAACTACAACAGTTCAAAAAATAAAGCAAACTTAAAAATTATGTCTGAAGGAAACAAATCTGAAGTAAGAAAATCTGACAGTGAAGCACTTACCATCTGCAGCTGTAGTGCACAATTGATTTTAAGGGCTCTGGATTGCAATGTGCTGCGTTGCTTGGCATGTGACACACTGGCACATCACATCGAGTGTGCTACCAGTCTTTTTGCATGTGTACTTGCCTTCTGGTAATAATCATGTTTCACACAGTAAGTGAAAAAGACCAATAAATGGCTCGTCTTTTGTGAGTCTGTTGATGTGGTTTGCTCTTGCTTTGGCACTGCACATCCATGTTTCTTGTGTCATGTTGAAGTACAGCAGAACACTCGGGAGTATATGTCTTTAAGAGAACAAAGCCTATCAGATGCAAATTTGGACGCAGGCATATGCATCTTTGAATCAGAGTTCAAGTGGACTCATATGTATTTCAGTGATGTGGTCATTACCACTGCTTTGACTGGTGGTGTGAAGCTGCAGGTTAAGCCAGCGCTTTTACAAACAGTATTTGTGAGCTCTGCTTTGACACTGCCACTCAGTATAGTAAGTTTTAAACATGCATGCTGATTGATCCAAGTTGTCTTGTTGGCAGCAACCTCGAACCTTGAATCTTGTTCTCTTCATTCATTAGAGGATTAATTTTGGACTGCAAATGACAGCAAGCGGGGGTGAGCTACAGAAGATGCCAGACACCACTTGCTGGCACAGGGAACTTACAGTGTACAGCAATGCCCTATCCCTGCTTGTTATGTGGCCCATACGCCAAATGTTTGTCTGATACAAATCTGCAAAATTCCAAAACACTGTGTTAATTTATGTACTTCATTACAAGCATATTTATCCTTATGTTATTTTTACTTCAGCTTACCCATCCATCTGCAGCAAAGGTGCAGATGAAAGAAAGCTTCAGTCACCACAACAGCAGTAGCTACCCCTCTGTCTAGGACATGGTGAACAGCATGCTAATGTCAGGCAGAGTCACGGATTGCTAGTGAGGGGTGAATAAATAGTGCAGTTATTTCCTGGGGAATGACAATACTACAGGGATGTGACGTAATACAGCCAACAACACTGGCAGTCTGGCTTCTGTCTCTCCTGGAAAACTTCACTGTCCTTAAGGGGCTGATATATATAATAATGAAGAGGGCAGTTCTGCCCATGGTTCAACTGACTTATTCTATGTTTACAGGGTTTTCAATTCTGACAAAGCTAATAACCTCACTTTTAATAATTAATCTCTCCTATACTGTAAAATAAGTTGTAAAATGCAGAGTGTCACAGTACTGTAGGTACTTAGTTGTCATTGTCTTGTCTGCAGTGATTTGACCCTTATCAATAAAATGACAAAGGGCTCACTATAAAACCCTGGCAGCTGGAATATCTGACTGTAACTGTATGCCTTGATAAAGCCCTAGCAATTGCTTGCTGTACTAATACCTGATTGAAGCCAGTTCTACAATGGCAGCTCTATGCTTTTGCTTACAAGGTCTTTCTAAGGCTACTTGAGGAAGGAAACTGAAGCTTACAAATACTCTTTTTGGGCCCAGTAGTCTAGTTGCAAGTCTAGATTTGGAAAGATTTGCCTTGTCTTGACAGGGTTTTTTTAAAGCTTTCTTGTGTATTTGAGGCTGGGGAAGGGTGTCTAGTTACCAGTTTCAGACACATGGGTCTTTTATCCACATACCAGCTACAGAATGAAGAGCGCAGCCTTGAAATCGGCAGGCTTTGGCCTTCCTACCTTAAAAAGTTACACCATTTTTTGTGTAGTGGCATATGGCATGCTCTGAGGCTGCAATTTGAACAAAAAAAAGGTAGCAGAAATATTGCTATTCTTCACTCCAAAGCATAAAGCAGTTCTGAGAGGTGGAGCATACTGCAGGAGTGAAAAAATATAAAGACAGAAAAGTCTAACACAGCGAGGGCATTCTTCCATTTCAAACTTCTTCTGATTAAGGCGCATTCAAGATGTAGCATTTCCATTCCATGCTTTACTGAAAATGGAAGGAATAAATTCTGTCCTGTGAGTAACAGACTGGCTGATTGTTTAGAGCATTGCTTTCAAAAAATAAAGATCTAATATGGAAAAGCAGTAGCATGTGCTCTTGTCCTTTTGGGTCTCACTGCAGGATCCAGGTGATACAGACTGGTAAAATGACTTTGGGGACTGTTCTTTTGAAGACAGCAACAGGACCTTGTGTGCCAGTGTGACTTTTGAAACACACTATGCCATTTGCAAACTAGACACTTTTCAGAAATCCAGAAAGTGCCATACAAGCAGATATTTATGTGCTCACTGTGCAGGAAAGCAGAGCTTTCTATCATTTGGTCAAGGAGGAAGTGGCTTCTTCAGTACTGGAAATAACTGAAAGTTCTGAACATAAGGGTACTGTGGCAGTTTGTAGGATGCTATCTCCCATGAACTGAGCTGGCCTGGAAAGAATGTTTAATGTGCCTGACAAGAAGCTCTGCTCAGTTATCCTGAACTTCAGGGTGAGCTGAGCCTCCTAGCAGCTGCTACTGTCATTTATTGGTAGGCCCTACCAAAGCCAGTGGAAAACAGTGCCACCCTGACGAGTTGCTTGGAGTAGTGAAAGGCAGAGAAACATCTCCAGTGCAGTGGGGCTGCCTGGAGTACAATTCATATGACATATCTGTGACAGCAGTGGACTCCTTTTACTGCCTCTATGAGACCATGTGCATCTGGGTGAATGACTCTGCTCTTCATATTGTATACAATAGTGTTTCTGTGATGAAATTTGGCAGTGTTGAGGTCACAGGGCACTCCATTTGTCTGTTCTCATATCATACAGAGAATAACCTATTGCTGTTTGTTTAGCTAACACAATGGAGCTCCAGTCTGTGATAGAGTTTCTCTTGTGCTCTCATCATGCAAATAAGTAAACAGTGATATTAAAAAGAGGGGGGGACAAATGTGTTGTCTTGAGTAGAGCAGGTTGGATATTCCAGCATGTTTCAAGCTGTATGAAGCACCCTGTGGGATTTGGCCTTGCATGTTTCAGTGTTAATTTTTTTTTTTTTTAGCTTTGGAGGGAAGATAAGAAGCTTTCACTGCTACACCAAAGCATCCATATCATATATTTATATATTCTACAGGACTACAGATTTCAGGCGACTGCCAAGCATTTTCTCATTCAGGGAAGTACAGCAGGGATTTCTGTAAATATTCCATTAAGAGATCAGTTTGCTGTAGGAGCCTTGTAGAATTCTGCCTGCAGGACAGACTAACTTTAAGCATTTTGTGTATGTGGCAACCTGCTCTAATTAAGGTATCACCTGTTCATGGCAACAGTGTTAGCAAAGGTAAATCCAGGCATGGCTTCTGTTGGGGTTCTGAGAAGAGTGAATTGACTGTCTTGGGTTTTAGTGGAAAATGGAAGGGTCTCTAAATGGTGCTTCTGTCTTAGGAATTAAAGCCTGTTTGGTAAAAGGAATAAGCTTGACCCTTATGAGTAACATGAGTGGTGATATAACTACATTAATGCTAGGTGTTGTGTAAATATTTCAATTTAGGAAAATGGTACTGCTAACTTACATTATGTAACTTAGCATTATTCAGGGGTTTCTAAGAACTGAGAGATGGAATCCAGGTCACACTGTCCCTGGGTATCTTTCCAATTTGACACTAGTAATACATTTAATCCCTCAAGCATTACAGACCTTAAGATGAAGCTGTCCATGTGAGAAGTAATTGCAGTGACCCACAGGTTTTACAAAAACATGGAAGGTAGTATGACAGCCCTCCACTTCCTTCTTTCCACTCAAAATATTTCAGAAAGGTAGAAACTATACTTGGCTTGAATTTTACTGAGTAGCTTCCTTGCATTACAGTTTATTGCATCTGGGTTTTTCTAAGACACCACTATCAGAAGTGTCTCTGTGTAAACCAACTGCAGAATAAGCCGTTATCTTTACTGTGCTACAGAATTAAGTTATGGAGCCCATGTCAAAGAGAATGAAAGACCTACAGAGTGGAGTAAATCATCACTCTGATATAATTCACAGCAAAATACACCCAAAAGAACTTAATTATTTGTATGCCACTGGTTAATATGCTGGTGTAAATAGGTGTTTCCTGAAATGAGGTTGTGGTAAGGTGTCAGTCTCTTTTACCAAGTAACAAGCAATAGGGCAAGAGGAAATGGGCTCAAGTTGTGCCAGAGAAAATTTGGATTGGATATCAGGAAAAATTTCATCATTGAAGCATCACTCAAGCACTGGAACAGGCTGCCCAGGGAAGTGGTGGAGTCACCATCCCTGAAGTTATTTAAAAGACATGTAGTTGTGATGCTTAGAGACATGGTTTAGTGGTTCCCTTGGCAGTGCAAGGTTAGTGGTTGGACTTGATGATCTTAGAGATCCTTTCCAACCTATATGATTCTATGATTCCTCTTTTGTACCATTAATTAAGGAACACTCTCAAGTAAATGCCAAAATGGTGTAAATAATCTAAGTTAAAAGGAGGGGGAAATTAAACATGAGGTAAAATGACTTCCTCAAAGCCATGCACAGAACATGTGCCAGAGAGGACTAGTCCTGACTCCAAGTCATATTTTCAGGCCATGAACAGACTTCCTTTCTTCACATGAGATTAAAGTATAATGGTGGAATATCTCTTTTAGGTAGCAGAAATACTTCTTTCATGCTTGAGTTTGCCAGATTGTTGCATGTGATTGATGAAAAGCTGGAGGTGATATTCCTAACCACTGAAACAGCAGAATCCTGAAGGGGACATCTTTGTCCATCATCTTCGATACCTACAGCCTGATTTTCTTCTCATTCAGTTTATACAACCTTAATTCCTCTGAACACATAGAATTAGTCTAGATTTACACCAGAGATACACAGAATCTGTATCAGACCTTTGGAACTAGTCGGACTTCTCGGGGGGAGCTCCATGGAGGTATGGCAGAATCTGTATGCATAGAGCCCTTGGAGAAAGGGCAGAGAGCTCAAGCATTTCTGGGTCCTACCTTATGAGAAGCCATGCATCACGTTGTATAACAGGGGTCCACATATGTGTATACCATTGTCCTGCATCAGGGAACTGGCAATAGCTGCATTCAGACACAGGATGCCTTTTAGTTGAGCAGGGCTCCTTTGAATTAAAGACCTGCTTAAAACGCTTGCCCTTTCAATACGGGAAGGATGTCAGATTTTAAAAACCTTAAAACATTCAAAAACCTTGAAAGAGATAGCTGCACAGCCCTCTCACACCAACAGAAAATCCAAGTATGTTCCAGATGTTTACGCCAAGTGAATGTCTACATCAGATCCAAAGTGTTAAAAAATTCCCTCAGTGATTTATAGAGGTGTAGTGAGGCTCTCATCCAATGTAGCTCACCCTCCTTCCACTGAATTCAGTGGAATTTTACCACTTCATGCATATTTAAGAAGTGACCCATTAAAACTCCAAGAAAAGTACCCCCAGTGTGTGTGGGCATTATATTCTTGTCACTATTTGCCACTGAATATGTATTTGAGCATGCTCCTTAAATGGATTCTGGCAAAATAATACTATAGCTATGCATGTATTTGTAAAACCACAGTGCTATTAAAATATTATTAAATGCAGTTTACTATGCAGTGGAAGTAGTCTGTGAACACCCAAGACTAAAGAAATCTTTTTCTTTCACAAATCTGAAGGTCAGACGTACATGTTAAAGGGAACCTCCAGATCATGCAGAACTAGCCAACCAATATGGATTTATATTTATTTTAGGTTCCTTTTATGCAAGTGATTAAGCACCTGTTTCATCATGTTCTGTGTCTGCTACCAGATAATCAACAATGATGTAAATCCAAATACTTGGATATAAATTTCCTTATTGTGTTTAGAGGAGTGGGTTCAATTTGTTTGGATGAAGTTTAATTTGTAAGATATTGTGGCTTGCTTGATGTGCCAAATTTTCACTCTCAAACCACAGGGAAAACAGTTTAGAGCTTAGCACTGCAAATGAAGCTATTTTAGTCTAGTATTGTTGTACTAGAGCACTGTGTTGGTCAGATTTGAACCACTAGGGAAAAAAATTATGGCAATGGATCAGTGCAGATCTGCCAGAACAGCTATACAGGTTTACACAAACACACACTCATCTAAAACCATTGATATATAGTGAAATAAAGCTTTACTGTGAAATAAAGCTTGGAACATTTAATAGATTATGCTGGAGAGGGACTCTTCGTCAGTGACTGTATTGATAGGACAAGAGGTGATGGGTTCAAACATAAACAGTGGAAATTTAGCTTAGATATAAGGAAGTTCTTCCCTGTGAGGGTGCTGAGGCACTGGCACAGGGTGCCCAAAGAAGCTGTGGCTGCCCCATCCATGGCAGTGTTCAAGGCCAGGTTGGATGGGGCTTGGAGCAACCTGCTCTAGTGGAAGGTGTCCCTACCCATGGCAAGGGTTGGAACTGAATGAGCTTTAAGGTCCCTCCCAACCCAAACCATTCCATGATTCCATGATTGTGTAAGACAGTTATTTCCTGTCCTGCACCCAAATTAAACTGACTCATTTTTTCTTTTTCCCCTTTCCCTTCTCCTTTTTTCCTTTTCCTCTTTGCAGGAATCTTAATAGATTTGTAGAAGTGTTTCTGTTCTCGTCTTAGAAATGCAAAATTATTAACTTCCTTGGGCAACGCTGGGAAAATGATCATGCAACTATTGCATACCCTAGCTGTTCTACTGGGCACAGATCAGTTTTCAAGAGGATTATTCATACTTGCACAAGAGTCTGACACTCATATTACTCTAGTCTATAGTTCCTGACCAGGACCACTGAAGGCAGTGGATTTACACAGGAGACAGAACAAGCATCCTGTAGCCTCTTGTACGTTTTCGCTCCAGGTGGGGCATCAGATGGAAGGAACTCAAACTTATTTATCAAAGCCTGTGGTGAGCATGTTGGATTGGCATTTATTTAAAGACAAATCCAAAGCTCCTTTATGTAAATTGAACAGATTTTGTTCTGAACTTAAAACATGTTTGTTTTATCCTTAGTTTGGTGCTTAACCATACCACTTTGCAGTGACAACTTTCCAAACAGAACCTTGCCTTAAGACGGCTAAACTGTCTATTTGAGATAGGCTGTGGAATGTAGTATGTTCCATGGACGCTGGTCCATGCCACCCAAGGCTTCATCCAACCTTGCCTTGAACACTGCCAGGGATGCAGCATTCACAACCTCCCTGGGCAACCCATTCCAGTGCCTCACCACCCTAACAGGAAAGAATTTCTTCCTTATATCCAATCTAAACTTCCCCTGTTTAAGTTTTAACCCATTACCCCTTGTCCTGTCACTACAGTCCCTAATGAACAGTCCATCCCCAGCATCCCTATAGGCCCTCTTCAGATACTGAAAGGCTGCTCCGAGGTCTCCACTCAGCCATCTCTTCTCCAGGCTGAACAGCCCCAACTTTCTCAGCCTGTCTTCCTATGGGAGGTGCTCCAGTCCCCTGATCATCCTCGTGGCCCTCCTCTGGACTTGTTCCAACAGTTCCATGTCCTTTTTATGTTGAGGACACCAGAAATGCACACAATACTCCAAGTGAGGTCTCACAAGAGCAGAGAGGCAAGATCAACTCCTTTGACTTGCTGGTCACGCTCCTTTTGATGCAGCCCAGGATACGGTTGCTTTCTGGGCTGCAAGCTCACACTGAAGCCGGCTCATGTTCAGTTTCTCATCAACCAACACTCCCAAGTCCTTCTCCACAGGCCTGCTCTGAACCTTTTCTCTGCCCAACCTGTAGCTGTGCCTGGGATTGCTCCAACCCAGGTGTAGGACCTCACACTTGTCATGGTTAAACTTCATAGGGTTGGCATCAGCCCACCTCAAAAGTGTGTCGAAGTCCCTCTGGATGGCATTCCTTCCCTCCAGGGTATCAACCGAACCACACAGCCTGGTGTCATTGGCAAACTTGCTGAGGGTGCACTCAATCCCACTGTCCATGTCAGTGACAAAGATGTTGAACAAGACCGGTCCCAACACCGATCCCTGAGGGACACCACTGGTTACTGGTCTCCAGCTGGACATTGAGCTATTGACCACAACTCTTTGCATGCAGCTATCCAGCCAGTTCTTTATCCACCGAGTGGTTCATCCATCAAATTGATGTCGCTCCAATTTAGAGACAAGGATGTTGTGTGGGACAGTGCAGAATGCTTTGCACAAGTCCAGGTACATGACATCAACTGCTCTACCCCTGTCCGTCAGTTCCGTAGCCCCATCATAGAAGGCCACCAAACTGGTCAGGCAGGATTTCCCCTTAGTGAAGCCATGCTGGCTGACACCAAGCACCTTGTTGTTTTTCATGTGCCTTAGCATACCTTCCAGGAGAATCTGCTCCGAGATTTTGCCAGGCACAGAGGTGAGACTCACTGGTCTGTAATTTCCTAGGTCATTTTTGTAATTCAAGACAAAGCTTATTTCCTGATAAGATTTGATTCAAGAAAAAGAGCATCAGATACTGAGTCAGTGAAGGAGAGCTGAGCATCAAATTCCTATTATGATTTGGGCATCAAAATCTCTTAGATAAATTTAAGGTCTCAGGATCTAAGTGTTTTGTTTCCATCTTTGAATCATATTATTTGGTTTGGGCTTCACTTATAGTATTTACTTACAATACTATCTGGTTTGAGAGACTTTGAGACTAACATATTCCCATGCTGTGTCCAGCTTCAAGAGCTCAAAAGCAGGAGACTCCAAATAGGAACAGAAAGGTGAGTGTGGTTTTAGACTACTGAAGTATGAAGCAAATTCCTCATTTGTGGTAGGGCAGAGACAGAGAATTAAAGTTGTAACTTGAATTTGCTGTGAATTGTTGGTATCCCACCTGTACTGCAAATTCTTCTAAATGCATGAATGAGAGGCAGTTTTAAAATACTGAGTTTTTATGATTATTCTGTATGATTATTCTATGGTTGCTGAGTTTGGAAACAAAAAAAAACCAAACCAAACAAAAAAAATCTTCTTGGCTCTGCTAGACCCTGCTGAGAATGGGTTGAAAAATTCTTTCAAAACACCTTTTATCAGAAAACTGAACTTTCAAGTAGATTAATACTCTGTGGAAAAGCATAAACATCCTTTAGTAATTTAAAAAATATTGTTAAAATGGAAAGCTTTACCATGAAGGGAGGAATATTTTCCAAAGAATTACAGTATTAGTGCCATTAGATAACAGTTGATAGGTGTCAGCTATTCACATACAGATGTACATTAGATAAGGTTGTGTATGTTAAGAAATGACCTATGAGCAAGTGGTAATTGACTCCTGTTATTATTACTCTAGGGTTTTATACATACTGACTTAAACCCTTCCAAGGCTGGAGGTGGGGTAAAAAGTCGATAAAGAATTCCTCCAGCTTTCACGGCTAGTTCTAAATTTACAGGCTGAGCTATTTGCTGCTGACTGTTCTGAGAACAACTGTTGACAACTGTTAAATGAGTCCTTTCTGTAAGAAAGCAAACATAATCTTTTAAGACATTGTAATTTTTCTACAGTTGTGTTTCAATGCTGTCAAATAGGTCCCACAAAAGAGCTTGGGGTAAGAGAAGGGGAGGACAAGAAAAAGGAATGTATTCAGTGGTACTGGAAAAAAGGAAGAGCTCAGTTGGTATTTAAAGTTAGCAGTATCTTAGACAAATGGGGTAAATACTACATACAGAAAGAGTCAATGATTCCATCATATGGTAAATCTTGCATGTTACCAAAAAAGGTGGAGCCGAACACGTACAGGCTAACTCTGATGGTGTAGATTTGTTTAAAGTATCTTCCAGATTACCTTTTCCCATGAGGCTTTCAGCATGGGGTACTGTTCTGTGCTGCAGTATGCAATAACGAGTAAACCCCACTGTGGCTTGGGCTGGTTTGACCAAAACGTGTTACATGCACAAATCCTGGATCTGCAGGATGATTTAGCAGCTTAATATTAACACCCATCAAATAGCAGCCCATAGAGTGTGAGAGTGAGCGGGGGAGGGAGGGAGGTGTACGGGTTTGGGTGCATGACAGGACATCTGACCCTTCAGCATGTGTGTCTAAAGGTTCATTCCTGTCTCTGTTCCCCCAGAGACAGCTCTCCTCTCCCTTTACCTCGCTGCTCCCCCCTCCAGGAAGAGATAAAATGTGTGCACTTAGGTATCATCATCCAAACAACCTGTGAAAAACCAGATACTCACCCTTCCTCTCCTCCCTCTGTCTCTAAACAATTCCTCACCGAGCCCCATCCTTCCTCCCCCACGGCGCCGGCGCCCCACCCACAGCCCACTTCGCCCAGCCCTCAGGCCTTCACAGCCCTGGGCAGCTGTGTACCAGGCAGTGCCCCCGCCCCTTCTCCCTCCCCTTTTACCGTGCGGCCTGAAATTGCATCTCCCCGACCCGCCGAGCACACGCAGAGCAGCGCGGGCTCGGCGGCTGTGGGGACCGGGCTTAGGGCAGCCCGCGCCCTCCAAAGAGAGGGGAAGAAAAGCGGCGGCGGGAGGGGAGGGGAGGCGAGGCGGCCGGGCGGCTGCCGCCAGCGGCTCCCGACCTCCCCCGCTTCACTGGCCGCGCAGCCTGCGGTCAGCAGGCACCATGGCCGGCGAGCCGGAGGATCCGAGCAACCGAGAACCGCAGGACGTCTGCGAGGCCCTGGGGCGTTACGAGGATGCACTGCGGGGCGCCGTGCGCGAGATCCACGTGGACATCCAGGTGTTCAAGCAAGGCGTGGGGCGGCAGGTGGAGGAGGTGCTGCGCCTCGCCAGCCCCCTGGCGCACAGCGTGTCCGAGCTGCAGCAGGAGAACCGGCGCTTGCGGGCGCAGCTGGAGCGCCTGTCCCGGCAGGTGGAGGCCCTCGGCCGGTCGGCGGGGCTGCCGCAGGAGTGGGCGGACGAGGCGGTGCGGAGGCCCCGGGCCGCGGGACCCGGCTCTCCGGGACCCGGTTCGGCTGGCGGCAGGTTTTCCAGCCATGCCAAGTTGGCGGTTACCGGCCGGAGCCAAGTAAGTGCCGGCCGCGGCCGGGGGCTGGGAGGACGAGAGGCTGCATGAGCAGCTGCCTAGCGGGTGTTCCCGAGCTTTGCGCTGGCGCAGGGGAGCGTCAGGAGCATGGGGCTCTTTTGCAGTGCAGGGTCAAGGGGCTTTTGGGAGGTGCTCTGAGAAATGGGCTTGGCTTTGGTATCACCTGGAGATGTTCTTGATTACGGCACTGCTTGGTCACACTGGGATCCTGGTTAGAGGGGGAGCAACCTGTCAGCGTGGTTAGAAGTAAGAAGAGAAGCTGAGGCAGTCTCAGCTGTCAATGCACATATGTACAGGGACATCTGTGCATCTTTCTGGACTTGATTAAGGGGGGTCTGTGTGCCAGCAGTGCTGTTTGCCAGTTGGCAAGCTCACAAAGGAGAACAGCTTAGCATGGAGCAGGCAGTAACATGTTTTCCTAAGATACTGACTTAGCATCCTGCAGTGAGGCAGTTTTGCTGCATGACCACTGTCCTGCACTGCTGCAGCTGGTCCATGAGAGGAGGCCTCAAGAAAGCTGTTATGGTCTCTACGACTTAAACTAGGACAGACGCATTCCTCCCAGTGATAAAACTCTCTTTGCAGCGTACTGGAGCCGTGAAACTTGGTACATGGAAATCCTAGTTAGTGGGCAACTCATCTGGCACTGAGATGTTTTGTGTAATACATTTTCTATGTGTCGGGCTTTATGGAAAGAATTGAGAGCTCCTGTGCAATCTTTGACACCAGGAGGTGGCAGCCAGACAGTACATCATGATTCACTCACACAAAATGGACTGATGATAGAGACCTGGCTTTCACAGATGACAGCCTATTTTGTGTAATCTTCATTAAGCCATGTCTAGAGGGGTCTTCAAGACTGAGTGTGAAAAGCAGGTCTGTGGTCTCTCCAGGCTTTGGGGATGGAAAATAAAACCTTGGAAATGAACTCAAGTTGGTGGGAATGAGCAGGGAGTCTGTTGTGTTCTAGCCTTTTTTGTGCCTACTGACTCAAGAATGGGCACTTAGGGCTTCCCGCAGCTGGGCAAGTGGAAGGGTAAAGCTGTTGCTTGATGTGTTGTTTCAACATGGTTGTGGCAACTGCTGCCTTTTCCCCTGCGTGATAGGGGTAAGTAGCATGCACACAACTTGTAGATTTGTCCCCTTTTGTTCCATGAAGCCATCCACACCTGTTTGTTTTGCAAGGAACAGAAGTGAGCTGAGCGAAGGGAAGGGACAAAGGGATGTGGTTCCTCACACCATCTCACCAGCCTCATTGCCTCTGCGCACATTGTAGTGTGTACTTCACACTGTGAGAAGTCTTGCATCAGGGTTATGGCAATATTCAGCTTTAGGTATTGGTCTGCATTAAAGCACAGAATGAGCTTTTGGAATTGGAACCTTCTCTCTCACTTTGCTTTCAGGGTTCAGGGAAGATCACTTAGGTACTGATAGTAATTCAGTGCCCTCACAGCAATTTTCCCTGGAAGGTTGGACAAGTTCCCAGGTTAGCATAGCTGACCGAGAAGGAATTTCAGTACTGAGAGCCATGGGAGGCGTGGCTAGGGCTACACACACCAAATGCATGCAGTGAAAACATGATTCTGTGGGTAAGGCTCTGATGTGGCTGTGCCTACATGGGTAAAGAGCAAGCCTTGGCTGCTGTGCTGGTCACCCAGATTCTCTGTAATGAAGAAAGTGTTCCCTCAGGTGCTTGCAGTTTGTGGTTTATATGGCCACATCACTTGGAGCAGAGTACCATAAATGACACTGTTTATGTTTTCAGATAAATGAGCACTTGTGATAAAAACTGGTGGCAATTCTAGCCTTAGGAAGTACTTCTATAAGATACGAGGAACAAATAATGCTGACATGGACATAGTAGCAAATAAAGATGCTCTCTTTTGTTCCTGAAGAGTTTTATTGGCCGAGTTCCTTTTTACTGTGTGGTTGATGGCAGTGTTTGTCCCAACAAAAGGCTGTGTTCTGTTGCCCTCAACGTTTCTAACAAAATACTGGAATTATATTGAATACTTGTAAACTCAGTTACTGAATTTTCTTATGCATAATACCTTCTGACAAATATAAAAGTTTCAAAATTTTATTTTCACAGATTAAAAGATCTGAATACAATGACAGATCCAGTTTAGCAGCAGTAAGTTAGACTGTGCATATGGAAGCATTCTCTGTGAGAATAGCAGATGATATAAAAATGGAAAGTATTTTTTTATTATTAGGAGAGACAAATGTTATTTTAAAGAAGCTGTTTTTATGGTGATGTGAAAAAGTTTGCAGACTAGCTTTGCAGAACTTATCATTCCTTTTGGGACTATGCTGAGTAACTGAAGAATGCAGCTTTGTTGGATGTGAGCCCTTCTAAAAACCTGACTGTAATGAAGCCTCAAAATGGGAGAGATGCTACAAAAATCAGTGGAGCTTAGATAGCAGAATTGTGCTTTTGCTTGTGAGAAAGTTCTGGGTGGTTTGAACATTCCAACTTCCCAATCTAGTTTATTTTCCTTTCTTTTTAAATAAGAGAGAGGAAAATTAAAAAGAAGCAGAAGTTCTAGTACAAGTTGATATACTGAACTTCATTATGGATTTGATTTGTAGAACTTGTGTGTCTTAAGGGAAGCTAACTTCGTTGTGAAATGGACGTTCCAACTTCCAGCTATCTTAGGTGCATCTGAAGCCTTCTTTGGAAGTCAGTGAAAATCTGTCAGTCTTGTTACTGGGGCTGTAAGCGCATTGTGCTAAACCATGGTGTTGTGTTATTGAATATCTGAGCAGTGATGGTGGTTGTTTAAAAAAGAAAAAGAAGTCTCATGTTTCAGTGGTTTAGACTCAGGAATGTCTTGGTGCATCATTCAACCTCCATGCTTTATCTAGTGGAGCACATAAGTGCATCTGGGAACATAGGGCCCAACATTTAAGTCAAGAGAAGGATTTTCCTTGACTTGAGTAGTGTAAGCATTTAGCTCAAATCCTGCAATGTGCGCCTGTGTTCCAAAGAAACCAGTTGGAGACTGACACTTCAATATCTAGGAGGATCAGAATCTAAGCCCGCAACTGTGTACTCTGAAAAAAAACTGTTTAGGCTGCCTTACTGTAATCTACTGCTAGTAAACAAACTCTTAGCAAGATCTCAGACCATAGTTACCAGGATTTGTCTGGGATTTGTACTTGAGGTAATGAAAGTTCTAGTATCTCAAGTAATGGATGTTAACAGTCTGTGCACTCTGCAGCATCTAGCAGAGATAAGTGCTTTTAAATAATCATGAAGTTGTGTTAGCCTTGTGTGGTGTCCTTAGCTAGTTTTGAATCAGTGTAAACAGCAGACAAGGTCTGTGAAACTTACTTTTCTTGATTTATCTTGGATTGATCATGATGGTGTCTGTATTTTACATGGGATATAGTTTTCCAGCCTATAAATAAATTAACAGTTTGTGATGAAACTATGTAATAAATAAGTAAAACTACTCTTGCTCTGTATTTCCTGTGTATGAAAAGCAGAGACAAATTAAGTTCTCACAAGTAAACACCCCACTTCTTTTCTGTTATGTTCTGTTGGTTTCATAATTACCTATAATATAAAATCTTTTTCAGTAATCTATCTTAAGTCTTTTTGTCTGTCTTTAAAAACAAAACTGGTTTGGATTGAGTTTATAAGAATTTTTGATTATGTTTATAAAAGCACATTACAGATTTACTTATTTATTTGTAAAATCTTTTGGCCAGTCTGGTAGCTAAATATATGTCTAGAATAAATTGAAACTTTTGAATGGCCTTTCTGTTGGGGAATTTCACTCTACAGCTTGTATGTGCTGCTTTTTGGAAACTACATTTTTTAATTGAAATAACTGTGTGTCTGTAAAGCACTTTCTTCTTTCTTTAGTTCCCATGAAACTGGATAACTCTCATAATTTTTTGCACACACACTCATGAACCAATGGGGAAAGAAAAATTCTTAGCTGATTTTCTGGAATTGTATTGGCAATCATAGGGAAAAATATGGTGGTTCTCCCAGAAATGGTCTCCATACAGAAGTTGCAGATTATAATGCAGCTGTAAAGTTCTAGGATCACATTTAGTTTATGTAATGCTTTTATAGTACATTATCAGAATGGGGGGGGGGTGGTGGTGTCTGCAACAAACAGAAAAAAACCTGCAGAGCATCAAGTGTTTTAATGTAATCTCGGTGTCTCCTCTGTGTATCGCCTTCACAGTGGATTCTGATATCTCTAACAAAAGTGGAAGGCTCCTCCTAAGTGCATGGGGTCTTTGAGGACAAGCATGTGAAAATTGATATAAGTCCTGCATTGCCAATACATAGTTTGTAGGTTTGGCTCTTGGGGTTAGATAGTTCCCTTCTTATGTTGTGGTCACTAGCACAAGGGGGGCCTGTTCTTGGCATGTGTTTCTGGATATTCTTTTAACTTTTTCTGCTGTTTGAAATTTAGCTGTCATGTCTCTTGTCTGTTCTGACAGAGTGTAGATCTGGATGACCGCCACAAATCTGAGTTCAGAAGAGTTTTTAGTTCTTCCATCATTGAAAATGGTCATCAGTCTTCAGGTAGGAGCAGGACATGAAATGAAATAGCAATACTTGTAAAATAACTTGATCCTGGCAGTCATAGAGCAGCCCTCAGATGCTGGAAGCATTAGAATCTGATACGGTTTCAGCATGGGTATTGTATTGTAGCACTGATACAATTTAACTTCATTTCCTAATTAGGAGTTTAACTTTTAAACTTTATTGTTAAGTGTGCTCTATGGTGTTTCATGAATTAGAGATGACTACAGTCACATTATCTTGGGGCACTAATGATTATAAGGTCTGCTATCCTGAGTGCCATTGTAGCCTTGCATCCCAAAATATTTTGCAAATTACCTGTCCGCATCCATTACCCTTAGGTGGAGGAAGAATGCTGTCTCTGTTTTAGAGAAAACAGGCATGCAGCATTTCATAAAACCATGAAAAGAGCAATAATGCTGATCCGTAACCCGCAGCAGGAGACTGGGGGTGGGAGCTGCACAGAGGAAGAGGAGGTGTTTAGCAAATGCAGCTGCTAGTGGGCTGATGATCTGTAGAAGTTGAGATTCATGTAGGACAGGTATGATTGCTGCAAGGATCACTTACACTAGGGTTGGTTCTACAGCATGCTGTAAATGGTATTAACATTGCACAGGGAGAAGTAGGAGCAATAATTACAATAACTTGTAAAATAAAGTTGTTGCATGCACATTTTTTTTTAACTTTGTTACAAATCTGCAAATAAATCTACTTCCTCTCTCCTTTTCTTCTTACCCAGTAGGTCAGGCAAAAGTCTCCCATGAACTGACCTCTTTTCACATGTCAGAGACATCCCCTGAAGCCCATGCCCCTGCAATCACCTTACAGATGCCCCATCTTCCCGTTACTGCAGTAACCAGGATACCAGAGAAGTTTTCAGGAGAGACTGTTTGTTCAACAGGAACAACTAATGCATCTGCTGGCCTGCTGGTACAGAGCAAGAGCAAAAGTGCAATGGCAACGAAAACTTCCAACCAGTCAAGTAAGAGAGATAAAAATAATTTGTTTGATGAAGCTGTGACCCATTTCTTTACTTGAAGCAACTGGTGCTACAGGACTTGTCCTATGACTTAGTGGTACTTATGAAACTTCACTTCTACACTACATATCTCATGGTGGGACACCCTGACTTAGAATATTGTGGGTCCTAGATTCAGCTTTAGGCTGTAATGTCATATATGCTGAAAATTTTTGCTGCCTGATATAGTTAAGTTTATAGCGCAGGCTATCTTCTAGCTCAGTTACTGAATAAGTATCTCTTCAATGCTATTTTAATGAAATTCACAGGAATTTTTAGTGCTCTGAGACCTGAGGTCCCTTGAGAAGTTAGGTGGGTATTTAGCTGAAGGGCTTAAGATTTGGAGGGAGGAATGACCAACAGCAGACTGGCACATACACACAAGTCAAAGTGATTTCAGAATTGTACTTACATCTTAATTTAGTTAATTTTGTTGTGTTTTAAATAAAGCTCATTCATATTGAAGTCGCTGTATTTCATGTACATTTAGTGATGGTGGCACAGATCAGACTATATCTATTGGTCAGAAATTAGAGAGAAATCAGATTGAATTGCCAGCAAGAGAGGGATTATTTGCAGATTATTCTTTCAATTTGTATTTTATTAAAGCAAAGCCTCTATCTTTTTTTCTGCTGTTTCAGTGAAGGCCTGGAATTCAAGTATGGTGACAACAGTGGGTTCATCTGCTACTGGAGGTGAGTGTTCTTATCAGCATGTCCATATGCAACACAAATTGAGGGGGATTCCATGTTCCACGTCTGGGGAATTTTGATGTGAGCATATAGTTCCAATTAATAGGTACATGGTAATATTAAAATTGCTAACAAGACTGCATGCAGGTTCAGTTTCCCAGGTATTATGGATGGTTGTTCCACTGTATCAGATTCTCAATCCGTTCAAAGCAAGGGGTACTTGTCCTTGTTTGCACAGAAGTGTGCATGTGTACTGTTAGGCAATCTCTGCAGTGGAAAAAATAGGTGCCAGGAAAGTGTGGCAGAACACAGTCTGAGCAGTGAAGATTTCAGCTGACCAAGTGAAAACTGTGCCTGAAATCAAGGTAATGACAGTTGGAAAGTGGTGAGCCCACCCTATGGATGGTGAAGCAAATTCCTCGAGCAGAATAGCAGTAAGTAGTCTTCTTCATGTATCAATGTGCCAAAGGACAAAACGACTTTGGAATTTTCAATTTCAGTTGAAATAGATGAGTTGAGCTCTATCCAAAAGTATTTTTAATTGATGTCACCAAGCTTTTACTGTCTATACCATATACCGGCATTTCATAGTGGTCTCAATGTCAGTTTAGCAAAGATGTAGCTCAGCTAGAATGGGGATCACCTGAGATTTGCATAAATTTCTGGCAAGTGTTTGTGGTCCCAACTTTGTCACATCTGTATGTTGGCATTTACTAGGGCATTTTACATGAGAAATTTAATTGATCTGAATTCCTTTAATAAGCAGGGGGGAAAGTTCGCATTTTCAGAGTCTTGCTGACAGTAATCAGCTTGGATTGCTTCTAAGATGCAGTCTTTCTTCATACGTAGAAGGGGCCTTCAGTAAATGAGTTGCTGGCTTATGCAACAAATTCTGGCTTTAGTGCATTAAAAATGGGCAAGTCACTCTGTTGCTGTGCATTTACAGAGCATAGCTGGTGTCCAGAGCTGGCCTATAAGAGGCAAAGCACAAAAAGTAAAACCTCTGGAGGATGTGATGGTCTGAAGCCATCTTTGCAACCCTTGCAGTCTGTTCGACTTTAAAACATTTCCTGGTGAAAATTAGGTAATTTAAATTATGCTCTCAGTCATGGCAGACTTCCTAGGGCTACTTATGTCTACCAGAATGCCTACTGCAAGATGAGCTGTAGCACAATTTCTTCCATTTACTGGAATGTTGTCGATGGCAGCGTACCCTCCTCTTGAGGTCTGCACAAGGGACAGAAATGATCAAACCTTCCCAGTGCAGTTTTATCAAAAGCATCTTCTCACAGCCCTTTCTGGCATGTTTATATCATCCTTGCTGCAGGGCAGTGATTTTGCAGGGGGATTAAACCCCTTGGGAAGATCCCTTCCCAGTTTATTAGATAAAACTAGAAGTTAGACAGGCCTCCAGCTATTCGCTGTGGTGAGTGTGTGGCTATCTTTCAGGAAATGGTTTGGAAATGTATGAGGAAAGGAGATAAAACAAGTTTCTGCCCTAATGTATTTTTGTCTTTTCTGCTTTTATACAGAGAATACTACTTCTGTCACTAAATCTGACTCAACTGTGAGCTATGGGACAAGTAGTGGAACCAAAACTGATGAAAGGTACGCATTTTACTTCACATTTTGTTAGGCCATTGTGGTCAGTATAGTCTCAAGGGACAGGTGTTTTGCTGGTGTGGAGAACAGGTGAGTCCCAGATGGTGTATTTTAAGTGTTGAATGTATAATTGTATGTTAATCTACTTGCCCCATTACATTAACCTAGTTAATACATTCTGTGTGTGTACTGTGTCCATCAACATGTAAATGGGCATATTCCTCTTAACAACATTTCTACTTTCAGGGAATAACCCATCAATGACTACTGGGAATAATCACACTACCTGTACTAAAACCATTCTAGTGATGTACTGTATAACAGTAGTTTTTGTTCAACATGGCAGTGCTTGAATCATAACCTGAATTGTCTCAGGTTAAACAGTTCCTTATTTCTAGCCGTACCTGTAGCTGGCGTAGCAGGTTATCTACTGATTGCACTTCTCATGTGAAATTAGCAATGTGCCCTATATAAGATCCTATATGTCTGGCTTCAGGACTCTCTAAAATCCTCGCATGACTGCTCCTTTGTGCCTCTGGTTCCTGTGCTAGTGCCATATCTCAGCTGATCCTCACAGCTTTCTTTGCATGACACATCTGGTAGGCTATGTATCAACATCTCACCCATGATTGAAGCATTGGATAGCCTTAGCACTTTTGGTTCCCTTGGTTTTGGGAGGCTTCTTCAGGCTGCCACTCCAGTGCACCAAAGAACAGGTGAGTTCCAGATGCTGTATTTAAGCCCATTAAAGTTTGTGAGCTTTCCTGAGGGCTAAATGGAGCAGAGGTGGGAAGGGATAAAAATCTTTCGTAGGGCAATTTGAAGCAGCCCTAATTGTGGATTTCAGCACTGTTACAGAGTTAGTCAATGAAACTCTCAGTGTCAGCAGTGGATTTTTGTTAGGAGGAGCAAGTTGTCAGGCCCTTTGAAAATACTTGTTAAAATACTCATCTCTGTTGAAATTTGTACATTGGGCTTGTTTTTGGAAACCAGCGTATAACTGCCATCAAATATCATTAATTTGGCTAGCCTAGAGTTTAGTTTGTGTATAAATGCATTGCTGAGGACTGCTACACATTCTGGATTAACTTGGACTAACAGTTGCTTAGTATAGGATTACAAGGTATCACAATTACTGCTGGCATATCCAGGTATCCTCAGCATGCAAAATATCCATCATGAAAAATGGGAGGGCAGCTAATTTAAATCTCTTAAATGGGGCTTGCATCTGCCTTGAAAATTATGCCAAATTTGTCATTAGATTTCTTCTGAGTTAGTTCCAACATCCACACTTTCATATTTGAGTCATGATACACTGAGCACCCTAGAGAACTTGCTGTCAGATCTGACCTCCATCTGTACCAGAAATTAATGTGTGACACTGATTAATTGCTCTTTGCCTCAGTTTCCCCATCTCTGTCATGGGGAACATTTCCAAATGTGCTCTGTTGCTGGTGAAGTGGTTTACGGCTCAAATAAACACAAATTAGAATATAATCCTATATTTCTCTGTCAAATGACCAGTGTGTGGTCAGCAAAGCAACACTGACCCAAGCTCAGAATTCTGTGTACTCTAACTCAAAAGTTGAAAAGTACTTTCTGAATTACTCATCAAGTTCCATATTTAAAATGTAATTTACCCTCTCAGGAACTCCAAAGTTGGAAGTTAGTGCTGCGATGGGGCTGCGATGGGGCTGGTTTTTTCTTTTTGGTTTGTGGGGTTTTGGTTTGGTTTTTTGGTTTGTTTGTTGCTTTTTTTTTTCTGTTGTGTTTGTTTGGTTTGATTTTTTTTTTTTTTTTGTTTGGCTTTTTTTTTCCTGTGTCTCTTTTCTCAGAGGTGTTTAATTATTGTTCTTGGCATTTGTGACTTGTCCAGCTGTGTATTATTTGTAAAAGTACCTTGATTTTTACTTAAATTGCTTTTCACTCATCCAGGTCCTCTTGAAACAGCTCTTTTGGGAGGTTTAGAGTAGGCAACAGTTGGATCTTTATTCTGACTTCTAGCAGCACCAGGCATTTTGTTTAACAATATACTTTCCATGTTATGTTTCTCCAGTGCCACTGACAGTTACTGTGATGTGAACCCCAGCTCTCACTCCTCTCCTCCCCCTGTACAGCGCCAAGTTGAAAGGAGGCGAGAACTGGTGCGGTCTCAAACGCTCCCACGGGCTACAGGAACACAGGCCAGGAAAGCACTTTTCGACAAATCTGAATATGGAGCTGGAAGGTATGTTGAAGCCTCATCTCCAGCATGGGTTTGTTAATGGGAAAATAATTTGTTGATTACCAGCAGAGGACAGCTGGGTGAGAGGACTTGACTCTCAATGTAGGAGTTTGAGCTAAGGACAATACAAGGTCATGTGTAGCTTCCCTGACTTCACAGACTGGATGCTGGGAATTCACATCTATATGTTCTCCTGGCTTTGAAGGTGTTCAGCTGAAGAAGCAAGTGCCTTTTATCAGGAGAGAGTGCTGTGGAAGATGCCTTCTCTGTTATTAAAAGAGACTAGGAATACAGTAATTTTGTGTTGCCATTCACTAAGGACCGAAAGCATGGACTGTTCTCTATGTACCATGTCGGGGGTATAATTTAAATAGAAGAGGCTTGGAATCAGTCCTGTCATTAGGGAAATGGAAATCAGTTTTTCTTGTAGGACCAACAAACTGGTTTCAGCAAGATGTTTCTCAAATATCACCTGGACAGGGGCTGACCTGGGCAAGGTTGTGTAGGTGGTGCTTACAAGTAGGTTTAAATTTTTCTAGAATGTAATTTAATCTGGTCTCTGTTAATTTTCCAGAGGAAAAGGTGAATCCAGAGCTAAGCTGAAGAGGTCACAGAGTTTTGCGGTTGCCAGCGCTAGCAGCATTAAACAAATTCTGTTAGACTGGTGTCGCTCAAAAACCATAGGATACAAGGTGAAGACACACTGGCACTTTCAGCTCTTTCTTTCTCAGGAGAGTTTGCCAAAAAAGTGTACTCAAAAAGTGGATGTAAAACATACTAAACAATGAGTTAACTTTCACAAGGCCATCAAGTTCTGTATGGGTAATACAAACATCGTGGTTTGCATGGGCAACACTTCCAGACAGCGATTGCGTGAGTGAGATTCTGTATGTCTGTCAAAGCAATGCATTAGTGTTTGAAAGCCTACATTTTTCTGCTTCTGGATAAGGACTTCAGTATACACTTGCACTTTTTTCTTAGTTACAGGCTTTTGCATTCTCACTGTGTATGGCAAGATCTAACATTTTGTCAGTATGTGGAGACTGTGGCCCTTTTGCTACACAGCAGACCAAAGTACCCTCTACTGGTGTTGGACGTGAATTTGTAGTAAATAGTTGAGGCTGAATCACATGGTGTTAGTGAGCTAATTTCTATGAGGTAACATCAGCAGAGCTAAAAAAAGTCAGCAGTTGAGATTTTAGGAATTTTACCGGGCCTTAAACTGAAACTGCCAAAATAATTTCCATGAGAAAGAAAATCATGTGTGTAATATGTTTTTCAGAGTTATTGTAAAATATGCATTATTATTGCTGAACTCTAAATTATAGTATACGTAAGCAGAACTAGTGAAAATGACTGTCAGTCGCTTACTGGAAAAGCTGGGACTTTAATTTTATATGATGGCAAAGTAGCATGAGACAGGAGCCCAAATACATTTCTTTTCACTGTGGCAGTGGGAAGTAACAATAAACATTTGTTCTAAGAATCAGGTTTTGCAAGAGGTGTAATGCTTCCTATATTTCTTCCTGTCTGTGTGTAAACAGGCATTGAATTGGGCCTTACTGAAAGCAAAGCAAGCAAGCATAATCTTTATCTAGTGCTATTGACAGCCACAAAACGAACTGTTCTTCAGTTATAAATGCTTTACCGGGATAATCAGCATCCTTACTTTTCACAGATACTCAGCTGGTGCACTGGGCCTGCTCCAGAGCTCACGTTCTTCCCAGTATTTTCACTGGGGTTTGGATCAGGCAGCTCGGCTGTGTGTCTGCTTTGCATCTGAGCATTGCAGGCAAAAGGCTTTCATTTGCTGAGCGTGCTGTTTTTTCTCAGAATATAAATAATGTAATAGATATACTAAAAGGGAAAGACAAACCATGAAGCCTGTGCTTTGTTGCCTAGGTTAGTGGGAGAGGACAGATAACTTCAGTAAGCAAAAGCAGTTGCACTTCCCTCTTCACCCATACTGCATTAACGTGCATGATTTTTTATGACAGCACATTGATCTCCAGAATTTCTCCTCAAGCTGGAATGATGGGATGGCATTTTGTGCTCTTGTGCATTCTTTCTTTCCTGAGGCTTTTGATTATAATAAGCTGGACCCAGCTAATCGCAAGCAGAACTTTGAGCTGGCCTTCACCATGGCTGAGTGAGTATCACATTAGATCTCTGTGAAGTGCTTCCAGTTCAGTCTAATGCAGGTGGGCAGCAGTGAAGAGTTTAATCATTGTGATAGATACTTTATCACTAGCTTACATGTGTCATGCCAAAAAAGATGATAAAGCCCTGCCTAGAGAATGCATAGGACATGAGCCTCAGCAGTCTGGAGTCAGAGGTGGTTTTACCAGGCACAGGGTTGTTCACTGGAAACAAGCCACAGCCACGTGGGCCTTCATTGGCACATTTCATCTCCTCTCATGTTTCCCTGTTCTTTTGGAACTTCATATATAATAACCAGAAAAACTCAAGATTTGCAAGCTTGAATGACCCTGCTTACTGAGAATTGGGCAGGTGAATGTGAGATTGGGCTACATGCTACAGATACCAGGGATGTGAATGGCAGCCAATGAAAAAAAAAAAAAGGCCCTACAGGGCTGTGGATCAGAGATCCCAGTACAGAAGAGGGAAAGAACTGGAATATTCCATGGTCACAAAAATAACAGTCTCTAACCTGAGTTTGACCATTTCATAGTAAAATGAAATGCTGCTGATAAACCTCAGGATTTCTTAAATGCTTTAGTGATGCTCAAATCAGAGCAGAAAATGAATCTTGGCACTGGTTACAGGCTTCAAGATTTAACTCTAGATTCACTGTATCTGTTTTATCATTACCACAGGAAAATGGCTCATTGCGATCGTCTGATAGAAGTGGATGACATGATGGTGATGGGTCACAAGCCAGATCCCATGTGTGTCTTCACATATGTCCAGTCTCTATACAATCATCTACGACACTTTGAATAAACCTGTTGACACCTCTGGACTGAAGGGTTAAGTACCCTGCTAACGGAAAGAGTGGCATTTTGCAAATGGAACACTTATTTCTTGCTTACATTCAGCTGTGTGGCTGACTGAAGTGTTGCTGAGCAATGCCCTGAAGTGTTGCATCACATCAGTGTTATTTGTCAGTAATACAGAAATACATTTTTAAAAGGCAAAAAACACAGGGAAAAGTAACTCTGGTGCTACCAGAGGGTTGGATTTTTAATATTTGTTAAAGGTCACAGGAAGCTAAATTGCTGTCCCTGTCTCTGTTAGGCTGCGACACAGTCTTATGCAGTGACAGTAACTGCTACGAAGTTACTGCTGCTCTTAAAATTCAGGTAAAACTCCAGAAAATAGCATCTTCAATTGCACTTCTCTGTTAAGCATGGCACAAAATAAATAGCAGATGAAAATTCCAAGAGTACTCAACTGCTAGGGTGTTATTGCCTCTCCTCCAACCCTAACCCCCACTATAGCATAAGTACATGTACACATCAAACAGGCATTGTTCTGTACTCTTAAAGCCGAACAAGAACATAGCCTCTTGCCTGCTGACTGGGGTGATGGATAACTACCATGTTACAGAACAGCATTTGTCTGTAATGGTCAAATCTAAAGTGATTTGCTTAAAGGCTTGCTAAAACATCTGCTTGCAGTACTGGATTTATTTCCTGGTTATGAAGGGCAACAACAGCTGGGCTCTTCTGTGTATAAGAGTGTGTTTGCATGATTTAGAATTACGGGGGGGGGGGGTGGGGGGGTGGAGGTGTAACAAGGTACAAAATCCTCTGAACACTCAGAAGCAAGACTGTAATGTGCTTTGGCCTAGACTCTGGGGGAAAGCAACTCTCCAGTGTGCACGGGAATTAAGTCTTGATGACTTGCTCAGTCCTCGTGCTGACTCAGAGGTGGACAGGCAACATGCCGAGAAAGTATGAAGGGTGGGAGTTTTGAAATGCCTTGGACTAATTTCCCTTTTTGGTTAAATCAGTGTTAAAACTACAGTGCATTAGGATTATCCCAGATTTACTGAACAAAAAGGTCATGTGTCACCCTTTCTGTTTTTTTCTTTGATAAATCAGCAGAGTTTTGTTTTCATAATGAATGTTAAAACCTAAAAAAGCATACTTCAGAACAAAAAAGCAGCTTTTTACAAGTATTTCTACCCTAAGAGCAGGCTCATAGAAAGTAAAAACTGAAAGCCATGAGCCCTCTGCTCATGCTAGAAAATGTTTATTAACCTGCATTTGTGCTTTTTGTAGATATTTATAAAGATTACTTTGGCTCTGTATTGATGACCATTTCTAATAAAATGTCAAATGCTCTCCAGATTTACTGCTTCTCTTTAGAATGAAGGTTTTTTAATTTGTCTTTAGAATGACAGGTAACAAAGTAAACTTGGTGAAAAGAAACTAGAGCTTTTCCTCAGAAGTTTTTTATTCTAGTCGTGATGCTGTGTGCTCTGAATTTCAGTTTTAAAAGTACGTAAGTTTAATTCCATGTGGAATAGGATTTTAGTTCATCCTCCCTTTCTAGTGACGTTTACTTAAGAAACCCTGAGTGAAGTAACCACTTCTGTTAGCAGTCTCAGGAGAGAAAACAAAAACAAACCCCCAAAATTTACCAAGGTAAATCATAACTTAATGTGAAGGTCTGGATCATCAAGTTCTGTTTGAAGGGTAGCTAAGCTGTTGCTATGCCACTATGAAAACAGCTTGAAAGACTTAGTATCTGAAAGATACTAGGTCAAACTAACAGGATCCTTGGTATCATTAATCTCCCATCTTTAGTCCATGTGGACAGAGGTTGGGTGGGCTGTTCATATTTGTCATATGACTTAAGGTTTTGGCTTTGTCTTGAATGACCATAATTGTGAGAAGGAATTATGACATGCTCCTGTTGCTCCATGAAATGCAACCTTAAGGATAAACACACTGTACTTGTGTTTTGGAGAGATGATTAAAGTAAGCATGATCAGAAATCTATCCACAACTGGCACATGGGATACACATATTTGCATTCTTACAGCAGAATACTTTCAATTGACTAGCAGAGCTATGTTCCATCATAGCTATAAGAGGAGAAATACTGCTTTATACATCTGTCCTGGGTTCAGCAGTAGCAGTCATGTTTCTCCTTCTTGGTAGCTGGTGCAGTGCAGTGTTTTGACTTTCGGCCTGGGAACAGAGCTGATAGCGATGTTTTGGTTTGGCCAAGGACTTTGTGAGCCTCATGCTCTGCCAGGGAGGAGGGGAAGCCAGGAGGAAGCAGAGACAGGACACCTGACCCAAACTGACCAAAGAGGTATTCCATACCACAGCACGTCATGCCCAGGATGTAACTGGGAGTTAGCCGGAAGGGCTGGGAGACTGCAGGGTTGGAGGAGGTATCGGTCAGTGCTTGGTCGGGCTGGGGGGGCGAGTTATCGGTCGGCTGGTGGTGAGGTGATGTATTCTCTTCCCTTGTTATTTCCTTTATCATTATTATTATTGGTAGTAGCAGTAGTGATTTGTGTTATACCTTAGTTACTAAACTGTTCTTATCTCAACCTGCGGGAGTTGCATTCTTTTTCGATTCTCCTCTCTGTCCCTCCGGGAGTAGGGGGAGGGAAGGTGGGGGGAAGTGAGTGAACGAATTGCCTGACTGGGTTTAAACCACGACAACATCACATTCCTTCATAGTCCCAGATCATGGGTGATTTTCCTGTCATGTGAATGTTAAAGACACATGTAAGTGGTTGGCCAGTTCAGGCCTACTAGCATATTGCAAACAGTGACATTATTGCCAATTCACTAGTGGAGCAGGGGTGTGTGTTACATCTTTTCTATGACTTAATTTGCTGTCACAGCTAACCAGAAGCTATTTTACAGGTTGTTGGGTTTTTTTTTTAAGTCTTCCCACTTTAGAGAGGTGATGGTTAAGATACCTGGTGCTTGCCAGCAAACTAATTGCAGGGTAGCAGAAGACTGTAAGTTGAGTTAACTGCTGGTGGTTTGCATGTAAGAAGATGAAGGAGATGGTGCTATGACAAAATTTTAACCTTGACTATGAGATCGTATGATTATATTGACATTAAAGTATGTAATGTTTGTCCCTGCTGGATTTTTTTGCATTTAAGGAGAAAAAAAAAATGCCAAGAGAGTGTGTGTTTATGACAGCAAATGTGTTCAGCATGAATGATAGAGTGAACAACATGTTAAGTCAGTATAGTATATGTTTTACATAGATGGACTGTTTCCTGGCTTTTCTAATGTTTCTGCACTGTATCAAAATTCAGTACTAAGGTGATTTATTGCATCTGGATCCAACTTTTAAAGGCCACATCAGTTCGTTCTGTGCAAGATTTTCAAAATAATCTCAGCAGAGACATAAAGGACAGCAGGACACCCACTTTTTAAAATGATGTTTGTGTACAGCTTCCCAAAGCAGGGAAGTCCTCCTTGGAAGTACAATTGTATGGACACCTTTCAACACATTTCCCTTTGTGTGACATTTCCAATAAGGTGTATGCTTGAACCAGTGCAAAACTCTTGGATACATGTAATTAGGTATAACAATAGCCCATATGGTTCCACCTCTGTCATTAATTTAAACCTGGCCTGATTTGCAGAGATAGTTTCAAAATGTCCAAAATAAAAGTTGGCATTGCTTTATGTAAGGTACATTTAAAAGTCACTTTTGGTTCCACTAAAGTAACTCTGGGTCTAGATAAAGCCTCTGGGGAACTGACATCGAATCACAGATAGATAGTTTAGGTCTGAGGGGACCTCTAGTCCCTTCCAACTAGAGGAAAGGCCATCTAGTCCACCCCCCTGCAATGAGCAGGGACATCTTGAACTAGATCAGGTTACTCAGTACACGCAGCCTGGCCTGGAGTGTCTCCAGGGATGTGGCATTTACCGCCCCTCTGGGCAACCTGTGCCAGTGTCTCACCACCCTCGTAAAAAAATTCTTCCTTTTATCTAATCTCAATCTACCCTCTCTTACTTAAAACTGTTACCCCTTGTCCTACCACGACAGGTCCTGCTATAAAGTTTGTCTCTGTCTTACACACTCCTGTTCTAAGTACGGGGAGCTGCCCTAAGGTCTCCCCAGGCTCAACAAGCCTGGCTCTCTCAGTCTTTCTTCATAAAGGATTATTCCAGACCGCAGTGAACACTGGAATTGAGACCTGTTATGCAGTCTGCTTTACCATTTCAGAAACATTGCAAGCGAGCAGTTGATGCTGCAGTATCAGCTCAAGCTAGTGAGCTCTCCCACTTCAACCCGCTGTCACAGCAGTTTGGATGGACGGCCGTTTAATCCTCTGAAGAATGGGACTATCTGTGGATGATTTTAATGCCTCCAATAAGGACCGCGGTGCCTCGTTTAGATTCCAGCCTCATCAATGCCGGTTAACTGCACTCCTCCGCAGTGTTTTTCCGGGATGAGGGCTTCAGCCGCCTCCCCGCCGGTAGCGCGCGCTCACCCTGGCCCCGCTCTCCCGATGGGGATGGCGCTGCGACCGTTACCGAGGAGAGCGCCGGACGGCTGCGGCGGCCGCTGATTGGCTGCTGGCGGCTGGGGCGGGGCCGGGGCCGGGGCAGGGGCCGGTGGCTGCCGCCGGGCGGTACCGGTGCCATTCCCCTCTGCGCTGCCCCGGCTACCGGTTGGGTCTGCTGCTGCCTGGCGGGCAGCGCCGCTGCCAGCCTCAGGGAGTCTGCAGTGATTTAGCCCCTGAAAGCCATGTGAGGTAAGAACAAACCTTCCGCATGCTGTGTAATTCATGTTGAAGGAGCGGTTGTAAAACCCAGTTGTAAATTTGGTATTAACACTTTAAAAGAAAGTATCTTTGTTATGGTAAGCTAACAATGAAGAATAGCTTTAGGGCTGGTCACTACAAATGAATTACTGTATGATGGTATCGCTCACGGGGTGGGTCAGGACAGCACCAGATACTGGGTTTTCAGAACACAGCTGCGTGCAGGTCTGTGGGTCTCACAGGAACGACACTGGCGATTGCTCAGCTTTCAGAGTGACCGAGCACGGTTTCAGAAACAAAATGTTCATTGTTTTCAACCACTGCCAGCCACTGCTCATCATTCTCAGTTTATTATGAGTCGTTCTGTCACCCGTCTTTAATTTGCTCACGTTGCTTTTAAAGCCTTGGAATGTTACAGAGAGTACATACAGGTATTAAAACTTTGTGGAAGACAAACTAATATGCAGTCTGATGCATACTCTGTACTCATGGTGGCAGAAGTAAACCTTGGTTCAAACTAGCTCCAAGTTCAGATCTACTTAAGTCATTAGAAATCTTGCAGTTATCATGGAAATGGCTGCAGATCCTGCTCCAGCTGTTAGTGTGACAAAAATTACTGCTTTCAGCAACTTGTCTTAGCATATTAATAATTCGTTAGGAAATACCTCCTGGGGAGAAAGAGAGCGGGAAGTGTTACCTGGACCAACGGCAGGCAGAATGTACAAACCAAGAGACAGTCCATGGAAGTATTGCTCTCTTGTACAAATAGTTGTGTACTACACGTGTGTAGTATAATATATATACTGATAAAACTGATATACATATAAATATTATATATAGAAATAACCATATAATACATATATACCATATATATACCATATAAACTGATTTACAGGTCTGTCTCAGAAGTGGTCTATGTAATTGATTCTGATCAGTGTTCAGCCTAGTCCTAGTCTTGCTTCACCTTGTGAATCAGAAGCATGCTGAACGTCTGTGACTACAGCTTTCCATCCTCCTGTATCAATCAGTGTATGTTTTTCATTTTCCTTGCTTGTCTTACACCCTATCCTCTGCTGCTTCTTGAATATCTAGGTCTTTCTCATCCCAGAGTAATGTCAACCCTGTGTTCTGAAGCCTGTATTTTTCTTTGGCTAACTCTGAAATGCCTGCATTTTGCTGTAAGACAGTGTCTCTTCAGTTAAAAAAAAAACAACTTCTTTTGCTCCTCTGGAGTATGTGCAGATTTCTGTTTCCAGGGCAGCTGGAACGAGAGGCACTGTAGTTACCAGTTTTAATGATCATTGAATTTAGCTCCTGTTAAATTGAAGATCATGAGCAGCTTTCTAGCTGTCACTTCACTGTATTTACAGGCAGCAATTGCAGTTACTTCCCACTTTTCTGTCTTGGACCAGGTCAACTTCTTCTGGGCAATGCTACTTGCTTCCTTCTCAGTTTGCAGTCTCTTTGGACCTTGCTGGGAACTCTGAGAAACCGTGTTCTCATCTGAACTACGTCAGAGATATTCAGAGGGGGCATAACTGTTCCATCTGATGTAATGCTCTTTTGCCTCCTTCATTTCTTCTGGCTGGCTCCCAATCTCTTTTGTCCAGGAAAGGATATAGTTGCCACAAAGATGGCGCATACTACTACGGATATTTTATGACTGACATTTTAGACAGCTAGGGATTTACACATTTGCTTTCACAATCTTAATGCACTTCTCTACTAAATTGATTAAAAATTGCTGTCTGAAGCTGCGGGAACCATCTCAGCTAATGTACAAAGAACACATTTTTATTACCACACAGATCTTAACCAGGAATGGGTGAAAGGAAGCATCACTGGCTGCTGTGTGCTGGCACTTCTCCCACCACAGGCAGTAACAGGAGGTTGCTGGAGGCAGCGCTGCTGCTCCCATGACAACCGCTTTGTTGCCTTCCCTGCTGCACTGGGTCACTTCCTGGGATATTTAGTGGCACATTTAAAAAGAAACCATGCGCTGCTGCTGTGGAGATAGAGGCTGGAAGACAGCTGGGAGGAAACCCCTCCCCATGAAAGGAAGTTGAAGACATGGCACTTAGCCAGGGTTTGACCCTGGGAGTGATGTCAGCCAAGAAGTTCATGAGGAAGAAAGGGGACTGTTTTAAGGGTGAATCTTAAGATGTTAACTGCTAAAGTGTGTGTAAAGCTGTGTGTTGCTGAAGAGCAGCTGTGAGCTGGGGTGAGAAATTGTCTCAGGTGCACTGAGGGAACATAGTGCAAGAATAGGAAAACTGATAATCAAACTGTTGTGACTTTGCATAGATCTGGGGCATTGTTTTCACTCTGCATTAAACCCATGTTCCCAGTATGCTTTGTTCTGCTTCAGCCCTCCCTAGACTTTTCCATTTCTTCATTTACCTGCTGTATTTCCCCCTTCAGCTTCCCCCCCCGCCAATGACCATTACATTTCTTTTTTACAACCTAAAGTTCATTCACCTCTCTAGCCATATTCATAAAAGGTGTTTAATTCTCCAAACTGTGGGAGATTATCTTCTGTATTTGTTCACTTTTTATCAATTTCCTGTGATTGTCTGTTTACGCCTCCTTTTCTTTCACTTCTCCCTCCTATGGCAGACAGCCCATCTTTTCCTGTTAGTTCCACTTCCAACCCTCTCCTCCTAGCTTCCATTCTCAAATTCTTCTGTTTCTTAATTCTCCCATTCCAAACTTTTCCTCCTGCACCTTAGCAAAGTCTTGAGGGGCCCTGTGCAAGAAGTCTTTTCTTTTCATACCTGTGCATTCTGTAGGTGAAAAAGGCAAGAATTTTTCTCACCTTTATGTAACTGCCTTTCCCCCTTCTTGTTTCTGCAGCCAAAGGTAATGCTATTCCTGTTTTCAGGTTCTACATTCCAAGAACTGACCCGTGTTATTTCCAGAAACTTTCTACAAAACAATGGACAGACTGTTGCAAGCTCCACCCAAATTTCATCCCTCAGAATGGGACACTGCAGCCAGGATGCAGTGTGCCAGTACAGAGTCTCTGAAATCAAGATCAGAGCGCATGATAGCTGAGAGTCAGAGGCTGCTGGATGAAATAGAAAAGACAACTCAGAAAACCCAAAGTGATGTCAACAAGAAACTAGGTAATCCCAGGTATTCTGCAAATGTCAAGATAACGTTGAGCTGCAAGACTTAGAAAATCAGTTGCTAGTGAATAGGAGTATATGTCATTGTCATGCTCTTTGATTTCATGGAAAAACTAAAAATATTTTATGAAATATTTTGAGGCAGACTTTTTATTTTGTAACACAGATAAACCACACAGAAGGCTATTGCAACCAAAATTCCTGACACGGGGTTGCAAAACTGTCCACACATCAGCCTACAGCATTACATCCACTCCACTATGGAATAAGTCTATTTTTAGTCATATCTAAGATCTGACCCGCAGTGGTCTCACATGTAGAGATGGGCTTGTATTAAAACCTGTTTACAATTTTCATTCTGCAGAGCAGAGACGGGAAGAAATAAAATTCTGGAAGCAAGAATTAAGTAACAAACTTGAAGAAGTTGTGCATGAGACAGAGTTACTGTTAACATTCAAGACTCGCCTGGAGAAATCATTGGAGAGCTGCAAAGAGCCACTTGTCATTGCCCAAAAATGTCTCCTGAACAGGTGAGATGATAATTAGAAGAAAAGCATTCAGAGAGAGAAAAAAAAAAAAATCTAGGTAATCAACTTTTAACAAGTAATAGAAGAGGCTGTAAATTAAGGACAGTGGAGTAACAGTCTGATTTATTGTAACACTGGGGAACCCAGGTCATAAAGGAAAAACTTCTATGTGGCAAGAAAAAGTCTTCAGTTTGGAAAGCTGGGCTTCATCATCTTCTGTTAGCTGCAGGCATTTCAACAAGGGCTGATGGGTTTTCCTCTTTTTGTTTAGGCAGAGGAGAGTTGGGATTGACTTGGTGCATGATGAAGTGGAACAGGAACTGGTGAAGGAAGTTGAAATCCTCCAGGGGGTTATTGCTTTGCTTGGACGTACGCTGGAACAAACTGATGAGCAAATCAGGTGCAAAGTGTGTAACTGAACACTGATAAGCTGAAAAGTAGGCCAGTCATATTCCTGAGAAGTTGTAGGGTCAGGCTGAGCACAGGTCCGAAGTTACCTTCAGTGCTAACCAGTTACAAGGAGGACAGTCCTAATTCATACCATTTAATCAGTAATGTTGAGATGTTCTGTTTGTTAGAACTCAAAGTACTTGCACAGGGCACCTGGTCTTCTCATGATACAGTCCTGTGCTTTTAATTCCAATTGGAATTGTACCACCAATGTATATAGAGGCAGCCTCATGCTCTTATTTTGGGACTTTGCAACTAACACTTTGTACATTAAGAATTCCATAACAGCGTTTGTATTACTTAATGCATATATGCATGCATGTTATGGAAACATGTAAGTGCCTACACTTTGGCTTAGAGTCTGGTTGTTTCTCCTTCTAGACTAAACCGTTCAGCAAAATATAACCTGGAAATGGATCTGAAGGACAAGTTCACAGCTTTGATGATTGATGACTACTGTACTAGCTTGACAAACAACACTCCTGATACCAGATACATGAATAATGCAGCGAGAATAGAAGGAAAGTAAGTGGTTATTTAGTTCAATTAACAGAAAGTAACTATACAGCCAGTATGAGCTGTCTCCGTAAATAGCAAGATTATTTGTGTAAAACAGACTATATCTGTCCATCATCTGTCTGTTGTAGATTGGGGTTTTTTTATACTTCTGTCCATCCCTTTAGTATCTGTGTAACATGTCTGAAATAAACCACAATAGTCATGTTCCCAGTGAACTGCAGTTCACTAACAGTTTTTGAGGCTCAAAACTAAGGAAAAGTTCACACATTACTTAAACCCAGAATATATTTCCTAATCTAGCTTCCTCTCCTCTCCCAGGGTGTCCTAATGGGGAGAACGCTGGACTGGGACACCCAGGATGTAGAGTCAGTTTCTAACTCAGTCACTAACCTGTCAAATGCGCCCCTTCTTTGTGGGCCAGTTAGTGTGAATGGTTTAGATAGAGAAATAGCTACCACAGAAAAATTGGCTGAGGAAACATACTGAGAAGGCAGTGTGCAAGAGACACTCTCACAAGGACACTACGGCCTCTACAAGAACTGACAAACTCGGAACACAAGGAGACTGACCGCTCTTGCTGCTAGTGTGTTAGCGTGCATCAATGACAAGTTGGATAACTCAGGCTACAGGCAGAATGGTCTTGGCTGTTTTATGCAAATTACAATTACAGCTTTATATATCCATCCAATAAAACAAGGAACCCTCTGAAGAACTTTCCAGACACCTGCCTGTGAGCCACTGGTGCACAAGTATGACCCTCTAATCTTGGGATACAGCTGGGGGTTGGCTTCCCAGCTATTGCTCCAACCACGTATTATAAGTGAATGGTGTGAGAGAATAAGTGAACGTTCTGTGTCAATAATTACCTTTGATTAATAGTAACATCTGAATAATATTATTAACAACAGATTGCTTAATGAAAGTTGTTCTAAGAAATATTGTTTATAATCTATGTTTCCCCCACAACATCATATTACTTTATCAGGGAAAGGTACAAAGTTGCAGTGTGACTTTAGCAAGTTCATTTCCATCCTACCCTTGTCTACTTCGTTCTGAGATGCTTGCAACATTTATTTTGTATCTGTAGAATTCCCAGCACAACTAGCACTAGCTGGGATATACAGTTAATAGAATTGCTTTGTTCTCAGGTTTGTGGAGTAACTATAGATTTATGAAGTTGCCAAGGGTTTGATGGTGCCGTTCGATGACCTTTTATTTTGAATCTCTTTCAGTTTTGTTAGCCCTGAAGACTGGATAGATTTCTCAAATATAAATGTTGAAAAGGCTGACAAGCAGCGAAACAATTCTTTGGCATTAAGGGTGCTTATTGATGGCATCCTCTCACAGACAGCGAATGACGTACACAAGCAATGTGAGATGGTGAATGCTGCGTTTAGAAATAGGGTGAAGGAAGTCAAGGATGCCAAGCACAAGCTAGAGACACTCCTTGCAATGGTAAGCGGTGGGGTTAGTGATAAAGTAGAGACCATGGGCTTGGATTATCTGCCAGTCTTCTCAATCCATTGGCTTGAGCTACTTTGCTTTAAGAATTTTACCTTCGCAATAATGATAGCCCCTGCCACTTCACACACCCTCAAAAAATGTTGTCTTACATTTTCTCAGCTCTGTGCACACTGCTAGAGAGATGAATTTCTGGAATCACATGATGTAGGTGTTGCTATAGACATCAGTAAAGTCAGGATTTCTCTTGTGATTTTTAGTTACATGGGGATCCTACAGAATTTTCATGATTGTAATATAAGAGGATAATAACTTATAAAATCAGGGTCAATGTGCTCGGTATTTGATACATGAAAACTGAGTGTTAATATTAAAAAATAATTGCTGAGCATATTCACTCAGAAATGTGTCACCTGCTCTCAAATAAAGGAATCATAATCCTGTCTGACCTTTGTAAAATATCCTTTGATGAAATAACATTTTAACATAATGAGTGTTATAATTTTATTACTATAACTAACTATTAAAGATGTTGACAACTTTAACCATTGTAAGAGCCAGTGTGCAGCACTTCCTTCTGTTGGATTTGTTAAGGTGATGGATGAGACTGCCTCACAGGAGAAGAACATTGCAGCCTTAAAGCAAGCAATTGCTGATAAAGAAGGACCTGTTAAAGTGGCTCAAACCCGCTTGGAAGCAAGAAACCATCGCCCCAATGTGGAATTCTGTTATGACACAGTGCAATACAGGCTGATAAGTGAAGTTGAAGAAATTACAAGAAATATTCAAAGGCAAGTGGAAATAGGCAAAAGAGAAAATCTGTGGTATAGATTACTATGTTAATGAGTCAAAGTAAATCGGATCCCAGCTACTCTCCCTGAAAGGCTGGGAAGGGCAGGACACTTTAAAAGAAGCTGCATATCTCTCTGTGAAGCCTCTTCCATCTTTTCTTTTTTTTTCCAATTCCTCAGAATTCTTATCCCATATGAAAAAAAAACTATCACTGTATTTTCAAGTAATGTCTGTCCTGTTTTCCCTGTTAGGTTACAGGATGCACTAGGAGAGGCTGAGACAGAGCTGAAAGCTCTGAGCCGACAACAGCTTTCCTTGGAGGAGGAGATCCAGGTGAAGGAGAATACATTGTATATCGACGAAGTGCTCTGCATGCAAATGAGGGAGTCTGTTAACATTAACAACTTCTGAAGCCATCACACTGGGAGATTGTGTGTTCTCCAGTGAGTCATTTCCTGCTGAAATTTTATTGACAAACCTCCAGATTTATTGGTTTGGCTCAATGCTGTCCTGGTTCTAGTTGTGCAAGATAATTAAAACACATCTAGTACTTACAGCTCTCTGTTTTACAGCTATCTATCTATGCTCTAGAGCACCTGATGAAATCTCCCACTTGGTAATAAAATCCCAGAATCAATGTCCCTTCTGCCATGTTATTTATCGTGTGTGCAACCAGTGGTATTTTTGGCATTGAAAAGTGTAGAAACTGTGGAAGCTAGAACAGGAGTCTCCTCATAAGTCACTTGTTGGAAACTGGGTGAGTGGGAGTAACCATGGAGTTTTGTAGCCATGTGTATGTTTTGTTCTTAATATCTGCTGTTAAGGAGGCACAGGCTGTATATCAAACTTAACAAGTTGTAGGGATTGGTGATACACTGGATAGTGCATCTGACTACACCTGAGTCAAGATAAGCCAAGGCTGAGTTTGGACTAATCATTTCTCAGTTTCCATATTTGTAAAATGGAAACAATGAAATGGGCTTCATTGGTAAGCGGTTTGATGCTCTGCAATGAGAACTACTGAAAAAAACGAGGATGGCCTTATACTCACTTGAGATGCCTGTAAGGGTGAAAAAGGGCTCACTGCTTCCTTTGGTTCTGGCAAGGAAAAATAAAGCAGGGGCAAGAATAAATGATGCTGGAGACACAGGAAGCCAGTTCCCAAGTCCAACGTTTTAATGGATGGAGTGTAAAATTGTCCCTTGCCTCTCTCTCGCTGTAATGATATCTTCCTTTCAGAGGCACTACTGCCAAGATTCAAATTCCTTACTAACACCCTCCAAAGGATCCATTCATTGCTTGCAGATGTCACTGGGTTCTTCTCTCTCCCTGTGGTTTACACCAGTGGGTAGGTGATGACAAAATAATTAAGCTCCGAATCAATCAGGTATTTGAACTTCCTGTAAATATCGCACAACCGTTGATCCTCCTCACTGCTCTCTGGTCGGGCTGTGTAAATCCTGACCTGCATGCATGACAATCATGTCTCAGGTATATGGAGCAGGCTAAGCTCATTAAAGCTCATGACAAGAAGCCTTTGTGACTAATGAAGAATCTAGAGATGCCAGATTCCTTGGGTTTGACTTAAATCTTGAGGTTTTACTCTGTTTTCACTCCAAACTGACTGCAAACATCATCTGCCAAAGACATTTTGGGAAAAGCAAGGTTCCTTTTACCCCTGGAACTGAAGCATCCCTGGGATCTGCACTGGTCTGTGAGGATCTACAGAATTCAGAATCTAGCACACGAAGTAGCATGACAGCATGGTTTACACCAGCTACAGTTGTGGTCTGGCTCTAGCTCAACACAGCATTGTTGATGTGAGATGTGTTTAGATCTTTTTGCAGTTTAGTGGGACTCAACCCACCTGCCTTGATGTAAGAATAGGCATAAACACTGGACCAGGGTGATTGAGAATCCCTAGCTTGAACTAGTAGCAATAGAGGGAGCCTCAGTCTAGGAAGGCCTTGTGAAATTTTGGGGGCTTGTTAATTAAACTTCTATGGTATTCTGTACATGGTAAAGTACACTGGAAAGCCCCATTGCTGTGAGTGGTTCGCAGACGATAATGCTAAAACATAATACGGTAGAGGTAGTTACGTTAACATTTCTCTAAGTGGCCTTTCTGTAAGCAGAACCTCACCTTTCTCTGGGTATAGCAGAGAGGAAGGGAACGGGAGTTCTGAAGCACAAAGTCTTACCTTTATGGTAGTCAAAATGCATTTCCTTTCCGCACGGTTTTGTAGCAGCCTCTCGATAAAGGTGACACTTAGAAATGCCCAGACTTTCAGGAATAACAGCCTCTTGGATGTTAAGATGAGCTGCAGCAGCTCATCATCCAGCAGCTCATGCACATTGTTTAATTCCAGTGTCAATTTCTTGAAAAAGAATGAACATGGTTAGTACTGCAGAACAGAGCTTGTGAGCACAGCCAGAGAGTTCAATAAATAAGTTTCCCAATTGTATGAACTCGTGTGACTGTCATCAGATCAATTTTGTACCCTGACTGCAGAGAATCAGTTTTGTATTATGACAACAATATATGCTACAATAATCTTCACTCTCCTGTTAAGATGGGGGTTCCCGTGTGCATTACATATGGTCCTAGGGCATAGACAACTTCTATTACCATTAGAAAATGCTGCACCGACAGCTCACACCATGATCTGATTTGACATATTGGAAATTATCCCAGCTATGACAGCAGATTGAAAAACAGTTCCTAGAAAGCTTTACAGATCTCTGTGTTTACTGGAAACTCTACAATGCTATCAGCAACAGTTGGGTATAAGACCACGTGCTTCCCTCAGGCATACAAAGACCTGATGCTCATTTATATGGGTCAGGTGTTGTACACCTTTGGGGACACATCCTTGGTACTTTCACACGGACACCAGTTAATTTCCGTGTGCTGTAAGACATTTGTGCACTGCCAAAATGGAGCAAAGCCATCAGTGTAGGTTGCTGCAGGCTACAGCACTGCAAGCAAACAAGTTGTAGAGACTATTTTCCTCATATGCACATTTCCCTGCAAAAGGGTGGGATTCAGAAAAATATGAAAGGATTACAAACTTATCAGTTACCAAACATGAAGGTGTCTAACCAGAATAGCCTAAGGCTCTTACAAGAATGACATTTTCCTGCCTGAAAGGTTCTTTTTTCTCACAGCTGATACTACAACCACCTGTACTTCTCATGGTTTAGCTTTTTGAGGGCAACCTGACATCAGCCTGACAGCAAAGACTAGCATAATGGGGTTGTAACTGGACAAGGATGACTACCTGAACTAGACTATAGCTGGAGCACCAGAATGATTCACTTATGAAAATTACCCTCTGAAAAAAAACAGAGGTCAGGAATTCCTACTGATGACTGCTGTCATGCAGAGAGCCCATATGATTACTTTGCTCAGCTTTGTGACTCTGCAGTAAGGTGTCATTATTGCTTCCCTTACCTGCAGAACACACCAATAGGCTGGAAGGAGGTTGGTGAGGGTAGGTCTCATTGTCCAGTCTGGGTTACTGAAATAGCAGCTCCGTAGACTGATGCTCCTTACTGGGATCTCCACTAGCAGGATCTTGGCTAGGTGATCGTTCTTCATCACTCTTTCAAAGAAGAAGTTCACTTTCAGTTTTGGGGCTCTCTTAGCCAGGTTTGCCCACGACATTCCCAAGACTACTTGTCCATGTGGGTCACGGATATGACATTTGATATTCAAGGTGCACAGGGAATGTGCGCTGTGCTCTTGAAGGATGTCCAGCAGCTCATCAGAGATGCAGTTATAATTAAAAGTCAGGATGACCAGGCTGTGGAACTTGGACATAGTCTGGTGGAACAAGGTGCTGCTGTAGACAGGAAGGTGGAGACTGAAGTAATCCTCAATATTGATTTCAGAGACAAAGCTTTTATTTGTCACGCAGCTCAGAGAATTTAGAAGATCACAGCCTTCTTCCACAGTTACTCTTGCTCCTTTTAAGTTGAGATAATCAAGCTGTTTGCTCATTCTTTTCAGGAAGGTAGCTAAGTTCTTGATAAACTGAGCCCTGACCGTATTTTTCCAGCTCAAGCAGTCTAATTCCAGGTACTTGATGCTCAGGGACACTAGGCGACTGTTACACTTACCCAGATGTGAAAGAAGACCTCTCATAGTCACTTGAAATTTCCGGGTAAAGGCACTATTGTAAGGATTTGATAATTTGATCTCGAGGTGCTCCAAATACTTGCCAAATTTCTTGACATACCACAGCGCACTTTGAAACTCCAGTGTCCGTGCTCTTGACTGTCGGCCATAGAATGTGATGATTCTTCTTCTCCAGAGGGATCCTGAGTACATGGCCCAACTCCATTTCTTACACACCAAGGCAGCCCGAGATCTGTCTCTGTCATCTAACCAGTGGAAGATGTGCCTCAAACAGACATCAGGTAAATGAGCCCAGGAGCTATGCTCAGGTTCACAATCATCTTCCATTGAGAAGAGAGTTTTTCACTTCTGAGTGCTGAGCCAAACCTAGATGAAGAAAGCTGTGGGTAGATTTCTTGCCATTCCCAACAGAACAGGCTTCCAAGCAAATGGTTGAAAGTTTACTTCTTCACATTCAAAATAACAACCCTTTCTTTGCTTCTGTACTTAAGATACCAGGGTCAAACAAGCTCTTGGGTGTAAACTATAGTTAACCTAAACAAAAAACAAAAACAAACCCCACAAACAACAAAACCAAACATAACCAAACAGGGAACAAGCACAAGACACATCTTTTAACTTTCTGGCCTTCAGTCTAGCTAAGCAGTGAAATGGCACCAACTGCAGACAGAGCAGCCACAGCCTGCAGATACCTTTGTTTAGCATCACCTGTAATTGATGATGTTTTGTGGCCTTATGCATAGCGCCTTAAAAGTATCCAGCGCTTTGGGCTGCTCACATCTGAACGGCGCTGTTGGTGCAAAACCAGTGCAAATGACTTTTTTTATCCTTCTGGGGGGTCTGTTCCGTGGCAATTGTTTGAGGCAGTGCCCTGCCTTCCATAGATTAAGGCACAGTCCCTGTTGAAAGTAACAGGCCACATAAAGTGCTCCATCCGTCGGTTCAAGCAGGACATCCAGTCACTGGGCTCTAACCACGGGGCTGGCAGGTCAGAAGACCACCGGGCAGTGGCAGCGGACACAAGTAACCCACCGCAAGGCACCAGGTTACCAGCTCCGCTCTCGGGGCCGGGCTAAGCACGCACCCAGCTTCCCGCACCTCCCGCGCCGCTCACCCCCGCTCCGCACCTCAGCGCCCGAACCCCGCCCCGCGCCCCGGCAGCGCTGAAGAGCCCGGCCCACTTTGTGACGCCACGCCTGCTCCTCCCGCCACTCCCACGGCGCAGGCGTCAGGGGCGTTACGGCCCCTGCGAGTGCGGGGCACAGCCAATGGGCGCGGGGCCGCGGTGGGTGGGGCGTCGTTCAAACGCGGCGGTGCCGGGGCCGTGGCGGTCGTGTCGGTGAGTATTCCTCGAGCAGCGGCCGGCGGGCGGGCCCTGGTTCTTCTTCAGCCGGCCCTGGTTCCTCTTCAGCCGGCGCCGGTTCCTCTTCAGCCGGCGCCGGTTCCTCTTCAACCGGCCCTGGTTCTTCTACCGGCGCTGGACTGGCTCTTTAACCGGCCCTGGCGAGAAAAGGGCGGGGCCGCCCTGTGCCAGCTCCCGGGGCGCGGAGCTGTCGGCAGCGAGCGCGGGGAACGGAGCCGCGGGTCGGGGCAGAGCGCGGGACACGGCCGGGAGGACGCGGTCGGCGGTGCTCGGTGAGAGAGCCCCGCTCTGCGCCCTTTGGGCGGTGCGGCCGGACTGCAGCTTGCATCAGTTCTTGTCATGGGTGTGCATAGACCCGAGTAGCTGTAGACATCAGCGCTGCCCTCCTTCAAGCCTCCGAGTAAAAAGTCTGCTCAGCTTTGAATGTACTGCTTCAGGAACAATATATTTTCCAACAGTTTCAATTTCTCCTTTTTAACGCTGCTCTGTCCCTTGCTGTTGGTGTCGTTCTGATTGTTTTAGAAATAAGGCCGACCAAGAACTGGAACAAGATGGCATCTGTGCTCCAAAATGTAAAGGCAACGATGGCCTGGCGAAAACACCAGCTCCTAGCTGACTTCGATGAGAATGAGAGTCCTGTACCTGACAAATTCAAGAGAAGGGCTTCCTTCACTTCTCTCAATTCCATCTGCATGTCTTTACGGAAGCGAGTACCATTAAAGCAGGTACAGCTGAATGTTCCTAAGACCTCTACTTGGAAAACTGAGAGCAAGACAGAAGTGCCAATCTCTTTAGAGTATTAAAAGAACAGCAAAAAATGCTTTTGGAACAGTGTCCCAGGTAGTCTGCCTTTGCAGTGGGGTGTAGATAACAGTTTAGGTTTTGCTTCAACTTCAGTACTACGATTTCTATACTTTGTACAGAATGCTGTATTCCAGAGACTGTCCACACACTCGCACACTGTTGCTACTCATAGCTACTAACTAGTAAAATCTTTAATACCCTTGCTAAAGTACAGGCAGGCAAATCATGCATCTGGCAGAACAAGGAGGAAGGAAAAAACAAAACGTATGAGATGCATTTCATCAAAACATTTATTGCTAATTAATGCTTTTCCCCTCCTGTATGGCATCATGTATGGCAGAGCAGCCTTCACAAAGAGGAAAGTGGGTAGAGACTGGCATTGCTTGCACTCCTTTTCCTGCACCCATACTATTTATTAGCATGTTCTTCATTCTAGTCAATCTAAATTTGGACTGACAAAATCTGCTAGATGGTAGCAGGGTAGTAAACTTGAGCTTGCACTTTCCTTTGGTGGAGACCTCTGTGGTTTTTTTTTAAGTGCCTCTAGTATATGCTAGGGCACCTGCCTCTTTCCTGCATAAGAGCAGCAGGAGCTCTGTTCCAGTGCCATCTGAAGTCCTTGACAAGTTCCAAGGACTGTGGGAGCAAATAACTCTTCCAGTGCAAATGGGTACAGAGGGTTGAGACCATTTATGCTAGACTAAACCTGATTTGAGAATAAAAGCTAGGGATTCAGCTCAAATGTTCCTTGCTATTCTACTCCAGGCTGAGATTGTTTAGCATAACATGTCTAATGCTGCTTTCAGAAAATACAGAAGTCTTGCCAAAGTCCAGTAGACTCAATGGTGACCTTTCCAGTTGAATCCATCAGCAGAAGTTGTTCTACCAAGAAAAGAAGCACTACACCTCGAAGCCCTTGCCATAAGAAGAGTGTTATTCCAGCAGCCAATTCCAAAGGCAGCACAAGATCCAACAAAAGAGCCTTGCTTGGGCCAGCATGGGTGTCAGAACATAGAGAACGAAGGGGTTTCTCATCCTGGTTTGGTAAAGATGCTGTCTCTCTCCGGAGATCAAGAAGAGCAGCAGCACTGAAGAGTCCTTATTCATCACCTGTGTCTGCCAGCAGAAACATGTGAGCCACATTCGTTTGTAAACTTTTTTTTTTCCTTTTTTTTTTTATTCCTGTGATTAGAGCATTGTGTAGGGCAGGAGATGAAGGTTGCTGTCTTGTTCCCCTGAAAGGCTGTGCTGTTTGAATAATTAGGAAAGTAGTTACAGATCCTGTACAGACAGGGACTGAGCACTGCATAAAGCTGAAATATGAAACTTAACTTTGTGCTGTGACAAGAATTTTTTTAAATCCCTTTCTCACTGGTTAAGTTTACACCATGTTATTCAGCACCAGTCCTCATCAGGCACTAGAGACAGACCCTCATTCTTTGTTAATGACTTTCTGGTAAAGAAAAATGCTCTCAATGCAACTCACTCCTACTTATCTTTAACTTTTCCAAAGTTGCTATTTGTATTGCAAAGATACATGAAATAGCTGCACTTACGCTGAGCTCTTTGTAGAGAGATTCTTGCCTCAAAGATGTAACCGAATTTAGATAAAAGGCTGTGAGCTAGGGAAATAATTCATAATGTGCAACATAGGTTTTTGTTTTGGTCAAAGTCACATAAGAAATGTCAGAGCTAGAAGCTGAGCCCAAGCCTTGTGAATCTGAACCCAATATCTGAATTGGAAGATAGCTTTCTTGGGGATGAATGCAGATGTGAAGCTGTTGGTGAGTGGAATCAAAAGCAAGGTTTCTACAGCCCTAAATTTTTCTGGATTAAGTCTGCAGGCAATGAGAGTTATTACTTTAGGGATAGAGGCTTGGGTAGTGTCAGCCTGTCCTGTCTCATCTTTAGTAATGACCATTCTGTTTCCAGAGAGTTTGACTGCGAGTTGGAGCTGATCTCCTCAGGGATTTGCCAGTTGCAGCATATCTCCCAAGCATTTGATGATGCCGTTGCGCAAGAGGAGAGGTAAATACTGGCCCCCAACTAGGAATAGGTCACCTCCCACTCAGACACCACCAATTGCAGGCTATGTGGTCCTTGTAACACAGGATGAGAAACAGTTGCAGAACTTTCTCAGCTGTAATGTAGCAGAGCCCTTCTTTCTTCAAGACACCTGTGCAGATTAAATCTGCAGCTGGACTTGAAGCTTCTAAAACCTGTCAAAAGCTCCTCTTGTCTTCAGGTTTCTTGCTGTGGAAGTCAGAATTTTCCCAGCAAGAGCCTACCTTCACCCTGTGTGAGAAGAGTACCTCCCTGCCTTCATCTAAAAGAGGTGCCAGTCCAGGCTGAGGAGGGGGAGAGGGAATTCCATTGTACTGACACTGTCATTGGTGCTTGCATATTTGTAAGAAAATCCTTTTACTGTGTAGCATTATATTAACAGATAGTCTATGTGCCCATAACTCAAAAATTTAGAGGCTGCAGAAGCTTCTTAAACAACACCTTGGTGGTACACACAACTACCATGAGGGGGTAGGCTGCTCTGTTTGTAAAGGTTATGTCATTCTGAATTAGATATTAACACAGTAAAAACCAAAGGTCAGAAGTCTTGTCACAGGGCAATTCCCAAAACTACTTCCTCTCTCTAGAATGCTTGATGTCAAGCACCTAAAATCCACTAGAGAGGGCTAGCATTAAGAACTTCTATTTACGAAGAGGCAAGGGCTTAAAATCCTTCATAATTCAAAAAGTTCGATTTTTACCAGTGGGACCATTTCTAGATAGGTTAAATCTTATATTAAGTTAATGATCCTATCCATTGAAAGTTCACTAAATCTCACTCCTAATATCTCCCATCTGTTAGTGATATGACAGTTTCTCTCATTCGTAACTGAAGATAATATCAACCAGGTAAAGTAGTTATTCATTTACCTTGTCTACACCTGCATGCATCTGTGGGGAGAAAACCTGCTGTTTGGAGAGAGAAACCCTTATTAACTCATGCTCTTTAAAGTATTATGCAGAACCATGGGGTTCTTCCCTTAGATTCACTGCGGCTGTCTCTGCCACAGCAGATCATTGTGCAGTTGGAAAATTTCACCTCTACATTGTGGATTAGTGAAACCTTGTGTGTCTGCATAGAAGTTGGGCTTCTGTTCAAACAGCAGCTTTTCTCACCCAGATCAGAAAACTACTGGTACTAATGTCTTTGTCACTCAACCTCAGTTCTCACTGATTACTAATGAAGATCACAAAGCATGACAGAACAAACTATTACCCTCAGCTGTCTAATTTTACAGCCTTTCTTTTCCATCCCTAGCATTGTCTCAGCAGTTAAGACTAGCTATCACAGTAAGAGCAACTGATACCTGCACTGCTAGCATTTTTAAACAGAGCAATTGTACCTAAATGGATGGGAAGTAAGTTTCTAAACATCACTTTAAGTGTCAGTTCACTGAACCAAGTAAATGCCTATTATCTTCACTGATATCTCTATTGTGACATGAATATCTTCACCCATTACACTGGAAGTATTCCTTTTGTTAAAGTTAAATCCTGAACACTATGTCCTATTTTAGCAACAAATATAGGGGTAGGATATTGATTGTTGTACAATGTTGATGGCTGTAACTTTTCAGGAAAAATTACACCAGTTTCAAATGTTTGACTGAAGCTTTAAGCAGTGATGTGTAGTGCTTCCACTAGGCAGTTTGGTCCAGTTCTACTGCATGTGTAGGTGCATGCAGTGCGCTCTGTCCCTGCTGGTTTGTAGGTTGTCTACTGGAATAATTTTTTTGGACTTTTGCCTTTCTGTTCTGGTATCAGTTGCTGTGGGTTTTGGTGTTACAGGTCCCTTTTCATCTTTTCCATGAAAAAACAAACTTTTAGTTTTGAAATGTTTATAGTTGCCAGCTCCACATATTGTTCTGATATTTTTCATTTTAATGAATTAGATATCATAAGAAATGCTCCTGTTATTAAAGTATTTTAGTACTTCATTTGTGTACTGCTATTTATGCTCACTGTAGGTATAAAGTATTTTCCTGCTAGTGTTTAGAACTTTTATACAGTGAATGCATACAGGTCCCAGACCTCTTCCTCACTTCCATCTAACAGTTTTCCAGCAATTTGTGTGACAACCAGTTAATTAACTTTACTGACTTTAGGCTGCTAATGTTAGTCTTATTCTTCTGCAGGCAACATGCAGTATCAACCTACTACTGTCTAATGGCATAAAGTTTGTGCATCAACCTCAAAGACTTTCTCAAGCTATCAGAAGGCAAACGAAGAAACACCATGCTGCACTTGGTACCTAGAGATGTAACTACTGTTAGTTTATGAGCACATTCAAAGGAGAGCTCTGTATAGGACTTGAAAGGGTGCATTCTATGCATTGAACAAGGCATTACAATTATGATCTTTCCTGATAAGGTAGGTCAGGACTTCCATTGCTTTCGCTTTTCAAGTGAACAGGAGAATCAGAGTTGTACAACTGTGTATTTCTCTTGCTGAGATGAGGTACCATCTTGAATGTGACTTTCATAAGACAGTAAGTACTTTGAAACCTATGTTGAACTGATGAGTAGGAATGGCCAGAGCAAGGGCCACAGACTAAGGAAGGATGATCATAGATAATAGTAGTAGACTGGTATCCAACTGCCATGAGTTACAATTGTGAGTACTTTGCATACTGAAAGTACTGGTTCATTATTTTGAAAGCCTAACTTTTTTTTCTGTATATGAACAAACCCAAACCAAAATGAAACAATAGTGGCTTGAGTTGTGACCACAACTCCTGTTCCAAGGCAACAGGTTTCTGTGGAGTCACTCACTCACTCCTCAAGAGAGGAGCCACATTAGGACTCTTAATTCATGGCTTTAAGGGTTGTTATTAGATAAGCCTGACTAATCCCATTTTATGTAGTTGGGTTTCAGACAAAGCAGAGCAACTGTCACTTCTTGCTGCTGTTTTAGATAGCATAGGGACAGTTAAGCATTGCTTTTTTACTATACCATCTGTCTTAGTTATATTCAGAAATCAATTACTATAATTAATGTAACCTCTTACAACAGCTGTTACTGGCTAATATCAGAGTGCATGTATTTTATGTGATGAAGTCTACTAAGCATTTGATACCTGTATTTTGCTTCTAACCGCTTTTATTTTTTTTTTTTTTAAAGTAACATTCACTTGACAAGCCTTTTTTGGTAGGTAATTCAGTTTAATAAAGTTTAGTCTTTCAAATGAAAGCAAAGATTTCTCAAGCTTCTAAAATTCATCCCCAGGGCTATTTCCCATGGTAGCAACTTTAGTTTGTCAGATTACATTCACTCTTTAGATGAACCTTAAACCAAAATACTGATTTTGGAAACTATTTGATACTATTTGAGATGCAGAATTTTAACTGGAACTACTAAAAGGATTTTAAGTATAAACATTGGAAGCAGTCCCTTTCAGTTCTGATTTACGAGTAAGTACTGATTTTAAACTTGCTCCTGATTTTTCTTCTTTATTGTCAAACTGGTGTGCTTCAAAATATTGAAAGAATATTTCAGTTAAAGAAACACAAAACCAACTCCAACTTCCAGGTTTTCAGGTGACTGAAAGCTTTAGTTTTTGGTATATCTTGAGGTCATTTTCATGCATGTGTTTTGTGTTGTATTTTTCTTAAACCCCTTTCTATATGGAATAGTAGCATGTTCTTTGCATATACTGAAAGTACTATACAGCCTTCACAAAGATGGTGTCTCATTACTGAAATATTTTCTCATATGACTTTTCATAAAGCTCCAACCCTTGTTCCTCTTGAGATGTCAAGATCCAATGTATTATTTCAGATAGCCGGATGTATTAAATGGCCTCTATTAATAACGTTTCCACTGGCTACTAGGACATGTAAAATGATGATCCAATACTTCCCACATCACTGGTAAGAAAAATCAGTGACACTGCTTAAAGGCAAGGAAGGTTTTATTTAAGTGACTAATCTGTTATAAGATTTTAAAAACCAGCTCACATCAAAATCTTTACCAGTTGTAGAAATCTTACTCCTTATTCCATGCTAAGAAATTCATTACTGTACATTTTTGAATCTTTACAAGGCAGCCATAAGAAATATAAACACTTGTCACCAGATAGAACCTTTTCACTGACAAAAAAGATTTAAAAGTATGCACCTAATAAAACTATAGACTGAAAGAACACATACAATTTCAAGTTTCCTTGTATGAATTCAGTTGTAAATGGACTGCCCCTTTCCTCTGCCACAAATAGAAAAATAAGTTGTGCAGGAAGCTTGGCTTTCTGTGAGAGGACTGCCATTATAGGCCCTACGCCAGTCCTTCCAGAATTACCTTTTCTGTAAAGCTTGCAATCTGTAAATTGCATTTCAACACTGTAATCTCTAGTGTACCATCTCCTAGCACACTCCAGTAAACCTGCCTCTCTCTCTTCCCCACTGCAAATTCTGTGCATCCTTACAAATGAGAAATGAACTGTCAAATTTGTTTCATGTTTCCCGTCTCCCACAGTTACACCGGGTTTTAAAGGTAGCTTATTGAGATAAATACAAATAGAGAGTAAACTGTAATCCCTTACCTTGGGCTTGAACTAAAATGAGGGAAAGAGGAAATACCAACACCTGACTTCAATTCCAGAGTCCATGGCACAGGATTCTAGCTGCTCCAGGCCATTTCTTATTTCTGAAAAAAAGAGCTCTTTTCATCCAGAAAAATATGTTATTACCTCCATATTTATGGGGGACTGAATTCAGGATCATCTGTAGGAACCTGTATTTACACTTCAGTGATTAAACATCATGGAAGTTTAATTACCTTGTTAAACCCACAATTTCTGCTGAAGCTATGGACACGGACCATGAGGAATCACTGCTCTTAGAGAAGCTGAGGAGGTTGGAAAGCTATGTGTTTATGGTAATTCTATTCTGCACCAGCTCCAGATGAGGATGGAAAGAGCCACTTTCTCCCCTGCATGCCTGAAATGAACAATTCAATGCAAAAATCTTGAGTTCAGATCCCACATTTTAAACTCTAATCACAAAAATTAAGCAGTGTACAATCTCCTCTCCGTTATTAGGCTTATTAAAAAGGTGTCCTTACTCCAGGCATCTAGTACTTTTTTAATGTACTCACCTTTTTGTGGCTTAGATGCAAGAGGGGGAATAAAAAAACTGGGGAAGATCCTATTTGTTCAGTAACAACTGTTGCATTTACAAATTTAAAAAACTGGAAATACCTATTCATTTCATGTATTGTTAAAAATGCTTATATTTTAGCAGATTTAAGACAAGAAACAATATAAGAAGAAGGAAATAATTTCCTTTTTTTCCTTCCAAATTTATTCTGTGAAGTACATGACGACACTACAGTTCTAAGTATTTGAAATTTGCTTAAATGCACACATTAGCAGTGCCCTGGCCTAAAGACTTCAGTGTATAAATGGGACAACTGTGCACTAATAATGGCAAACAAAAGCTATTTTGCAGAATGGTGGAACTTCCAGGTAAAGTGTAATTGGTCTGCTTATTTCAATAGTATCATAGAATGGTTTAAGTTGAAAAAGACCTTAAATATCATCTGGTTCCATCACCCCTGCCACAGGCAGGGACACTATCCACTAGACTATCCAACGTATGAATTAATCTAGTAGGTTAGGGTGTGCCATTTTTTTCCTCTAGTTTACTGATAGTTCCACTTCTACATAACCAGTGAAAGCTTTAACTGTTTAGAAGTGAATTCCCTAGGTACTAGAGGCACAGGTGAAGTTACCTGTAAGAATTAAGACTATTTTCATGAAAACAAATCAGAATGGCAGCTCTCGTGAACCCCAATGAACAAGAAGACTTATCAATGCCATATCATTTTTACACCTAACAAAATTTTATGCTGAATAGATATAAGCCATGCCACAAAACTGAATAGGAGTACTTTGGTCAAGCAAGAATCTGTTCCAAGAGCACTAGTGTATGCAAACACTTAAAAAGAGAAGTTATTCAAAATAAGCAGTTTTAGATCAACATCACTATTCAGGTCTGTGGAATATTCTGCACTCTTTATACAATGACATCTTTTTTTTCAAACTTACCTAACTAGACAACATTGAATAAACAGCCATTTTTTTATTGTTCTGGTTTTGAAGTATACTGGTTACAAATTTGCTGTGAAAGCAGAACCAAAACTCCACTTCAGATGTCTTCACACACACACACACACACACACAAAACACCACAGTTGTAAAGGTGTGTTTTCACAATATCTCAGATAAATCTACCACTGTTATTAAACACAGCCATTTTTTTACAGTAATTTAAAACTGGATCCATATCAACAGGACAAAGTAAATACATCCAATTGTGGCCTACTTTATACAGGCTTGTACTGATGCCTTTGCACCCACTGGAATAACAGTTGCATTTTATAGTTTCACTTATGCTTCTTCCATTCAACAGGTTGAGAAAAATGTGCTTTTCTGTAGCAGACTGGAGGCACTAAAGGTGCTGAAACTATTGATACGTCTTGCTTGGGCACCCTCCACTCCTGCCTGACTTCTCTGTCCTTTTCCCTTCTGTGTGCATGTTAACAATTCCATAGCCCATAAAGTTTAAGTACGGACTTCACAGAGACTACAGCAATGAGGACTTGCAATCAGAGAGTAAGATGACTAGCACCAAGCTTATCTTCAGGAAATGGCCATCTTAGGAGTACCGATTATCCTGCCATGAAAGCAGAAGCAAAACCAATCCAATTGCAAACTAAATGCCCATAAACTACTGCATGCAGTTTCATGTGTACTGAGTGTGTAACTAAAATTCTGACCACAAGGAAATGTTTTAAGAGAAAACATGAGTGAAAAATTATGTATAAAACTAGTTCTAGCTTTTCATCAGTGATTCACAAGGGAAACCTCAGTGATCACCCCAGGCACAGCTGGGAGGATAAAATAACAAAAAAAGGTGGTGGTTCAGGATGCAGAAGGTCCAGCTACTGCTGCAGTGTCTGTTGAGCTGCCAGCCCAGTTGCGAGATGTTTACAGCCACATCCATCTTGTTCACACTCAGCTCCACCAGAAGCAGTTTTACCATTTCAGTGTCAACTGGCTAGTGCTTTCAGAACAACTCCATCTGGCATCTGATGTTTCACAAGATGAGCTCCTAATTAACATGAAGCCTTGACCTCCAAGATAAAGCCTGTATCACTGTTTGCCAAAGTGCTCAGCTGAAGGCATGAGTTCAGGAGAGAAACCATTCTATCCCTGAGCAATAAGTAGTGTTGGAATTATGCAAAGGCCACATAAGCTCTTACATATTGTAGGAAATGAGGTTAAGGAAAATATTTGCAGCTTGATTTTAATACCACGTGTATAACCTTTGAAATTGTTACTGCCGTTCTAAATCATGCACACACATATACACACACTAGCATTTGTTTTACTACTATTAGCTCATAATATTCTTAAGAGAAGCCAGCAAGGTGACTACTGTAAAGGTGACCCAGCTATAAGTAGAAATACACAAAATCAGTGTTTTCATGACATGGTACCTGGCAAAATGACGTTGTGTCTGCAAAAGACAAACCTTAACAAATTAGATTTCTCCAGCCATGTGCTCAGATACTAGTTCTTTTAATACAGTCACAAAATTACACACACCTTTCTTGAAAGGAAGGAGGCCTTTCTACTATAGCAACTTAAAACAAAAAATAGATTTTGATGTCTCTTGGATGATAGAGGTAGATGGCTAAAGCAACATTAACTTTGAATTTTGCAGCACGAACAGGGATTACTGTCAAGAGTCATGCTACACAATGCTTCAAAAGAACTTTGTGACCAATGCTGCTTTCAGGTCTCCTCACTACATTTAAAATTCTCTCTTGGAAGCCTTGGATTCCCATGCTTTTTTAAAATTAACATGCTAACAATGAACTGACTGGAAGGAGATGGAGTCTACCTGTGCAATCTGCTCCTAGCTGCATCGCACAGGAGAAGAAATGGAGTATGTGATTAGAATTACTACACACAGTGGGCCAAGACAGAACACACAATAATTCCAAGTTTATGGGTTAAAGAACTGTGATACTACTGGGAAAGCATTTGTAAACCTGAACACTATTTCAAATGCAGTTTGTGGATATCTTTCATTTAGGTTTTGTAGTTCGCTGACTTGGCAACAGAGCATAAAACCCCAGCACCCCGTAACATAATCAGCTACCTGCTCCCAATTAGCACAAGCTACCAAACTTCTGGTATCTTTCTTAAATCTTCAGCAAAGATTACCCCTTTGCTTAAAGGAAGCATTATAAAAAGCAAATTACTGACGTGCCTTTCAGGAAATTTGAAATAGGTAACTGACAATCTTGTCAAATAATGTCTAAAAAATAAATCAAAGATCTCAATTTATGAGCTACTTTGTTGCCTATTAAGGCAAAAGCCACATTACTATGCCCTTCAAAAAGCACACTGAAACTTCTGGGTGAACAGGGAGCACAGACTTAGGTTTACTTCTGCACTGTCTTAATAGTTTTCCATCGCATTTCTTGTTTGCTTTACATGTAAACTTTCAAAATCATTACCCAACAGACTTTATGAGACACTGTTTCTGGTATAGCTATGGACCAGGAAAACGTGACAGTAAGGTGGGGAGGACACGAGAGGGAGGCACAACACCCTCTGCCCCAACTCCCTGATAAAAACAAGCAAACAAACCTGAAAAAAAGAAATCTCCCACTGACCTCAAGCTTTCTCAGCATCCACAGTCTGGTTTTAACTTTCAAAGAAAAGCTGGTTTATGTGCACTTGTAACTTCATTACAAGTTTTAAGACATGTTTCAGTCATGAGCGCAGTGGAACAATCTGCATGAAGAAGCTGCAAACTGCTACTATGTTAAACTAACAACAACACTTTAGAAATCTTACCATTTAGGGAAAATTTCACACATTTTACTTCTAGTAAGTTCATTGAGAGATGTGAGAGAAATTCAAATCAGTAGGAAAACATCTATTTGGCATCTGTAATTTGGCATGTCCATTCTTTGAAGGTCAAATGCTGTAAATCTGAATGCTACAGATTGTTACAACAGCTGCTATAAAGAGTGAGAAGGTAAACAATTTCCCATAGGAATTCCATCACTTTTTCTCTCTTCCAGTGTAAAGATTCTACTTTGGAATAATGAAAAAAGTGATTGCTATGAAGTTTGCAGATCCCTTAGTAAAATGTCTCCCTTTAGCTTACCATCTTAGGATCTGCCTCTTGGACTGAGATGGTCAGAACCATCTCCGTACTCAGAGTAGTCCACACATTTTGCACAGCCACAAAGTTCCACAAAACAATGTGATCCTTGTACACTTGCGCATTACTTTGTACACAGCAACACTAACCACTTCAAATTGTGGTGGACACATTTATTTCTAACATGAAGATTTTATGATTTGGTTCTAAAAGTGCAGTCCTCCCACTTATGTGATGTCCAGCACCTCACATGAACATGAGTGCCATATTGGGGTCTGTTGGCCCACACTGTAAGTTGAAAGGAAATCTTGGGTTTAAGGCACCCAAAAAAGCATCTTGCTGTACAAATCCTGACCACCCATTACTGTAGTTCCCATTACTGCTTCCCTTGAAAGTGTACCACTTTAGCAAAAGTGAAGTGGAAACATACAACTATTTGATGTTGAAAGCGTAAACCTTCTCTGTAACCTATGGACCTACTGTTTATATTATTTTGGGTGCTGCTAGTTAGCTGATATCACAGTCCTTCTGAGTAAAATTAGCCTGTTACAGCTTTTTCTCTTATTGCACATTTTATTATATCTGTTGTAAAAAAACCCCACAGATATTTCCTGTTCCTTTGATGTTATAAGCACTTGAGATTGTTTTAGATTGGTTTAAAATTTCCCAATAAACATGTCAAGAGGAACAGACTTGAAGTTAGAATCATAGAATCATAGAATAGTTAGGGTTGGAAAGGACCTTAAGATCATCTAGTTCCACCCCCCCTGCCATGGGCAGGGACACCTCACACTAAACCAGTTCCCCAGTTAGTGTAAGAAGGCAGATTCCAGAGCAGGGAAGACTCCAAGGTACAGGTTTCCCTTTACATCTTTAGTTT